TTGGGTCACATTTACACGCTGCAGATAATGCAGCTAATCCAGAATGCTGCCCATGTGGAGCTTCACAACAACTCTTTAGAAACCTATGGGTGGCATCACGGACACAATATTCATGTATTATACAGTCTATGAGTGAGACGCATCTCAGACAGTAACACTGTCTGACTGTAGACTGAAGCAAAAAAACACTATCAATACATTTTCAAGTAGGGCAGGGGCGATTCATCAATGTTATCGGTCTGAGCTGGGATTCCCTCAGAGAACAAGCTCCACACAAATGTGATATAATCAACACAAGAAATGCGTCTCTGTTAGTAGTAGCCACTGACCCCAAATAGTCGAAGCTTCGATGGGCGGAGCCTGATTCGACTGTCAATCTCACAGTCGAAGCTTCTCTGCAGAACAAGGATAACGCCATTTTGGCGATATGGGGGTGTTCAATGTCTGATATTACATAGAACTACCAGTTTTCTCTCAATAAGTACAATAGTATTACAATATAAATTTCAATTTATAATGCTGTGAATAAAAAAAAGAGAAAAGAAAAAAAGCTTTTAATAAATATTTTTTAAGTTCGTGAATAAATCCAGAATTGTAACCCTAACCCACTGCGCATGTGTAGGTATAGCGTGTATTTGTGTGTGAGTGTGTAGTGGCAGAAGAGGAACTTGCTGTAGAGACCGAGCCTTAACTTCACCATTGTTGTGCAGAGTTGTCTGCACCTCGCGGGATTTATCACTATTTTTCCATTTAAATAGACCCGCGATGAACCTCAACGTGCATGCAGCTGTCGGCCGCACGGCAGGCAAGCAAAACTCTGTTATTTGTATAAATTCATTGTTATATTAATCTAGTTATAAAAAATATCTTTAAAATAATCAATAAATTAGTCGTTAATCGATAAATTAAAAGAATAATCATTAGATAAACTGTTTGAAAAATAATGGTTAGGTAGCCCTTTTTTCAAGTGAATTCCACACAGCAAAAATAGTCACACACGAGCCATGAGTGAGCCGTAATGCCACTAACTTGATTTAGTGTTGGGCCAATAGACGATGCCATTGTCCATCGGCGATGGTTGACAGACATCACAACGTTTAGCCGGCATCGTGATCGCTCCCCCCCCAACAAAGAAAATCTCAAATGTTCACATTTTACCACCCTGTGAAAGCAGGTTTTAATGACCACGAACATTCTTATTATTATTTTTAAGTAGCCTGTGCTTTGCACCTGCCTCAGAATTCTCTTCTCCCCACACTCTGACACACTCACACACACCTACACCTCAGGTAAACACCCTGGCTTGCCCCCCCGCTCCATTTCTCCATCAGCAGTATGTTTTATAGATGTAGGTTGAAAAACAATCTTTAACTGAAATTGAAACAGCTATGTAGGAGGAATAAAATTGGGTGAGGAACAGCCAAACTCAGCTAACAAGGTGAGGTTGCAGAAGACAGTTTACTGTCAAAAGTAATACACCAACGCACAACTGAGCACAGCAACAAGACACAAAGTAGTTATACTACATAAGCAAGGTCTCTCCCATGCAGACATTTTAAAGCAGATAGGGGTTTCCAGATGTGCTATCCAAGCTCTTTTGAAGAAGCACAAAGAAATGGGCAACATTAAGAACACAGTGATCAGCCAAGGAAACTTTCTGCAACAGATGAAAAACAGGTAATGCTTATTTCTCCTCACAATCAAAAGATGTCCAGCAGTGCCATCAGCAGAAAACAGTGGGACCGTGGTACATCCATCTACTCTCCTGTGAAGTCTGGTCAGTGGCCTTCATGGAAAACTTGAGAGCAAAAAGCCATACCTACTACATGGAAACAAGGCCAAGTGACTCAATTATGCACAGAAACAACGGAGAGCGGTACAAGAAAGAGTGTCTACAGGCAACAGTGAAGCATGGTGAAGGATCCTTCCAAGTTTGGGGCTGTATTTCCACAAACAGAGGACAGATGGGGATTGGGGGATTTGTTCAGAATTAATGGTGTCCTCAATACTAAGAAGTACAGGCAGATACTTATACATCATACAATACTATCAGGGAGGCATCTAATTGACCCAACATTTCGAATGCATCATGACAATGACCCCAAACATCATAAGTGTAAAAAAAAGAGCAAGGAGTCTTGTGATTGTATTGTCCCCACAGAGTTCTGATCTCCACATCATCGAGTCTGTCTGGGATTACAGGAAAAGAGAGTAGCAACTGAGGCTGCCTAAATGCACAGAAGAACTGTGGGTAGTGCAAATGTGCCAAGAAGAATTGATCACATTGAAGGGTGGTCACACCAAATATTGGTTTGATTTAGATTTGTCATTCACTTTGAATTTTGTTAATTGATAAACATAATTTTATAACATGTCTACTTTTGAAAGCATTCTTACTTTACAGCATTTTTCCACACCTGCCTAAAACTCTTGCACAGTAGTGTGTGGATATATCTAATGTGTAAAACATCTTAAATGTTCTATGAATGATATTGTATGCATATGTAACCGGCTGCTCCCAAGAACGTACTACACGGTCCTGAGTCGAACCAGCGAACTCGGGTACGGAAGGCGGACACGCTGACGAGGAAGCTAAAACCCATGAGCCTTGGTGTCACCAGTGCGTCTCTTAAGGTGTCGGGGAGTGAGATTTACTCACTGCACAGCCTTGCTGGCTTCCGTCACACATACACATAAATCACAGAATGTTCCGTCATTAAAATTGGTTTAAAGTCATGGAAAGTCTTTAAAATCACCAGCAAAAATGTGTATAGACTGAATAATCAGACAGAAATGCAATATAAGATCCATGTTTGTATAGTAGCTGAAAATGGACAAACAAGTATTCATGCAGAAAAGTATTAGTGTTATACTAATAGTATTCAGAGGTAGAATTCAGGCAGTGTAGAATACGTTGTCTGACGGCTCTTTCGGAGGTGTGTCAAGCAGGCTGCATACTCTTTCAATGTCGTTCTTTTTTTTTTTTCAGAGTAAAAGCTCAGTTCAACTCCAAATACTACATTACAGTAAACAAGCTTCTCACGCTTTTATTTTGTAGGAAAGTGATTATGTGAGTAACTGTTGCTGCCATGACTGAGATCTATTTCAGCACAGCTATCAAAGTATTTAGTTATTTATTTATATTTTTTGCTCCTCTTTTCACCCTGTGTGTTTTACGCTCTGCTCTTGAGCTACAGAGTGATGCATCTTACTTGTACAAAATCTTTGTTGGGAGTTGCACATGCGCAGTTCCCAGGTAAGGACTACTAGCCAATCAGAAGCAGAGAAGAGCGGGTCGTAAGAAACAAGGTAGTGTAATCCAAATCAAAGCCGCTTCAGACTGCGACCTTAACCTAGCAGATGGTATAAGTTACTACCAGTCCACAACCACATCTTACCATCAGGACTAAACGTTGAACTGTTGCCGGTGTTCTGTTGCCGACGATCTATGCTGCCTTGCCAAAAAATGCTACCATAGCGCAAATCGATAGACTCGACTCTGCTCGGCCCTGCTCCGTTTACCATTGCAGATGGTACCCAGAGATAGTACATAGCTTGTCGTCATAGCGACGCCACACACAGCTGCCGCGACGTAATGTTCAATGTGACACACACACCAGCTCTTAAAATATATCTACGGTTAAAACGTTTCAACATTCCTCAGAATGTAAAGACAGATAAGCAGTATGAAAACCTTCCAGCTGTGTTTTCCTCTGCTGTTGTTGCTGCAGCGGTCTGTGTGACGGCGGGAGCAGAGGGCTCTGTGAGCAGACGGCTGGCCGGCCTCACACGCTCCTCCCACGGGTTGGTACAGGCTTCCCCCGCAGCCACTTGCGGAGCTCCTCAACTCCGGAAATATTCATCACATTTTTGTTCTGCCATCACTTCGCGTAAAACTGTCAATATTCGAAATCTACACAGCTGATTTCTCACCTCAAAACTTCTCAGAAGTGGATTTAGTGATGAAATTCCATACAAAAACTTTCTGTCTGGCGCACGCAATGATGATGCAGTGAATAGTGAATATTCTCTCTGACCAGTCAGCAGTCTGTCGTGTTTTTACGTTACATTTTAGTATCCCTCAGCTCTGCTGTCTTAGAAGAGATACCTTTTGTGCTGTGTCAGCCACCGTAGCTGTCCTACGCACTTTGAAAGGTTAAGGGGCAGTGGTAGTCTGGGGAGATGGTTGCAATTCACAACCCTCACCACTTGATGCCACTAAATCTTACATACTGAAACTTTAATTTAATAAATTTTAACAGTTAAAGCTTTGAACAGAGGATTAGTGAGTAGTTTTTAAATAACTATTTAAACCAGCGTAGAGTTTACAGCTATAATGCAAAAGTTCTCTGTGAAGCAGGAGGGGAGGAGGAGAGAATGTAGGTGATAATACCTATAGACAAGGTGCTGCATTGTGGAGGAAAACAGCTTCAGGATTTTCCAGCTGAGTGCAAAGTTGAACCTTGATTAAGTCAGGGTATGACTACAGTACTGATTGAACATATTGAAAGCATGTGTAGAATGCAGTTAATACCCTTTGTCTGTTGTCCAACAATTGTTTCATTGAATAACTACCTCCTAGCCCATGTTTGTTTGATTGATTGGTTTGTGCCCAGACAATATAATTTTTTGGATTTTTTGACATTTTCAAATAGGGATAATTATAGGTTTGTTTCTTAAAAGGAACCAGTCTGTTTTGAATAACAATGGCTGTCATTTATTTATTGAATGCATCATATTGCAAACAAATAAGTACTGTAAACATAACTAAAAACGATCCTTAATTATCTTAATCATAATAATTAGCAGCTTGAAATGCACATGGCTTTTCTGAAAGCGGAATTTGGTGATCTGAGGTGAACTGCAACAAGTGTACATCAATGTACAGGTTTGAAAATTAATTTTTTGACAATACTGCGTATACACTGATGTCACAATCCTTTGTGTCTGTTCATGTTCTAACACTCACTCTCTTCCGCCCTCTGTTTCTTGTTCTTCAGGATTACATTCTGCCACCTTCCCTTTCAGAGCAAATGGCTTTATGTGGGGACAGAGCGCGGAAACACACACATCGTCAACATCGAGTCCTTCATTTTGTCTGGATACGTCATCATGTGGAACAAGGCCATAGAACTGTAAGTTGCCCAACGCTCCAAACGCTGGAGTTGACAGAAAAATGCTATCAGTGATTTAATGTGATCATGATGATGCGGGTGGTGTGAATGGGAGTGGGTCAAGTTAAATTAAGGAAGGAAACCTAGAGCCGTGAACTTGTAACTTGTTAATTGCGTTGGTGATCTTGGCAATACTTAGTTGTTTAATATGTCATCAATCGCTATTTTGTAGTTCAAATCTCGGATGAGAACAGTTGAGAACTGTTTCATCACAGACACCGAAAGTCTGCAAATACTGCTCTACCCTGTCGTCCCGTTAGATGTTTGATTGACACATTCATGAATTAGCTAGTCAGACAAGGTTTTATTGCTGCCAGTTTTTGGAGCTCAACAACAGGTGAGTTTTTCCAAATGAATAGCATTTTCAGTGATTTATGTGTTTCTTAATATGGAGACAAGTGAAAAACATGGTCATTTTTGCAGCTGTAGCTTTGGGTGAATATGTGTTTGGTTATTATGTGCTAAAATAATCCCTTTCTCCACTTCAAATAGCCTACACACACACACACACACACACACACACACACAGTCAAATATAGGCCTTGTATTTAAAATGATTGGGTTGTTGAATCGATTTTGTGCTCGTAAGGTGGGCCCATTTCTCATGTGTGTTCCTGTGTTATTTAGCCCCATTTAAGTAAACAAACCAACCATGTTGTTACTTGTTAGATTGAACCTTACTCAGTCATGCTGAACATCATAACTAGGTACTGTTGCTATAGGAAACGGAGCAGTATACCATCTGATATTTGCACTTTCCTCTTGAAAGTCAGGGCAAGCTATGGGCATTATTTACATTCAATTCAATTCAATTTTATTTATATAGCGCCAAATCACAACAACAGTTATCTCAAAGCGCTTTTCATAAAAGAGCAGGTCTAGACCGTACTCTGTGATTTTATTTATAGAAGCCCAATAATTTTCATGTATTTGATTTTTTACATAATATGTATAAAAATTAAACTTGGTAGTGAATAAACTTTCCTATAAGTTTGAGAAAACACATTTTTAACAGCTGGTAGAAGACATTTTACGGGATCCAACTATAAATGATACAAGAATTGCATCAACAGCCTTTATCCTTCCATTGTGGTGATGTTCCCAGTTAGCATTTACAATGTTATATAACGCCTCACGTTTGGGCGTAATACTACTTATCAGTCAACAGAAGCCTTTATTAATTGGATGACATGCACTTTTGTGTGTTGCAAGTGTCGACTGTGTAGCTGACATATGCTGCAGATTGACAACTTAAAGCGCCATCAAGTACACAAATGGTGCTCAGTTGCATTGTATGCCCGGGTGTTTCTCTTGGTTTCACCCACCTACGCATCGTTCTTCTGGCGTTACCCTGACAAGTCCCCTGCTGCAGTGTCAGTCACAAGTCACTCTCATACCAAGCCATCTTGTTGCCTTGTGACAGCCTACACTGTAGTGAGCAGTCATAACACTGATGTGCATGTGTGGGTGGGCGGTCTGCCAATCATTGCCAAAGTCTCAGAGGCTAAGACAGTGGTTGGGATTTTAACAGGACATTTGATTTGTTGATTCCTCACCAGAGTCAACAGAGAGGAGCCATATTATCAGAATCCCAGTCACGTGGGTTCTTGTTCCACCTCTTTATAATTGTAAAACCTTCAGTGCTCTTTTAAACCTGTATCAAATATTTGTCAAGGATTGTGTTCACATAACCATACATACCTGTCACATATCAGAAAAAGATGGCATGTGCACATTTGCAAATGTGAGGTAATGGGTAGTAGCTATGCTGTTAAATGGGTTAGAGCTAGTGTTGTAGTACTTGAGACTGGTCTTAGTCTTGAGACCAGTCTTAAGACCACTTTTTGATGGTCTTGGGCTTGTTTTTTGGACTTGACCGCATTTGTACTTGGTCTTGTCTTGGTCTCGGACATTGTAGACTGGGGATTTCATTCCAAGACCAGTCAAGACCATAACTGTGGGAGTATAAATAAATTGCTTTTGCATTGTCTGATTTATTTGTTAACATCTTTGGATGTAAAACGTATTGCTTCAATTGCAACCAGTAACCCTGATTAAAAATGTGTTGTTACCATTGATGACCGTCACCCCTACCTGCCATGTTAAGCATGGAAAAGGAGTGTTAAAGATGCTTATGTTGATTTCAGCTCTTAGCGTTTGTATGTAGGTGTTTTACTTGGAATGTGGATCTTTCAGATCAATTTGAGAAGTACCTAAGATCTCATTCCACATTTTATTGTGTGTCATGAAATGTGGGGAACTGGTCTTGGTCTTGACTTGGTCTCGGTTTGGGCGGTCTTGACTTCAACACAAGTTAGAGCACACAACCATCTTAACAGTAGGTTTCTCTTTGCTCCATATTATATTCTGCTTGAGCTTAGACTATAATATATTCTCAATTTTCCAACCGTCAGCACTCTGTACCTTTCTCAAGTGGAGTTCATCATAAGTTGAACTAGTAGAGAGTGAATATTTTCTCATCAACACACAGAGCGACTGGGGAGTTTCATAGTTTGGCTGGGGAGGTTTTCCTCAAAACATGAATAGGGATGAGGAGGGGCTTTCTGTTTTTCCTGCGGTAGAACATCGAGTGTACAAGGGGGAACTCATCCACTCTTTCTGTGTACAAACAGCACAGTGTGAGTCACACGGTATTTGGTGTGTGTTAACACCTGCGTGTGCATTTGTGCTATCGCAGTGTGTGCTTGTGTGACAGATGCATTCATTTAATACAAACCAAAGTATGCTCTCTTGAAAAGAATCTGTTATAGCAATTCAATTCAACTGGGGCCAGCGTTTCCAAACAGGAGGGCTTGGCTCTCATTGAAATTCAAATGGGTTTGCAACATATTTAATGCACAATTTGATCTTCAGAAGATTCATTCCAAAATGAGATATAAAAAATGAGATGCAAGGAGAGGTGGGAAAACACAGCGGCCCAGAACACACTCTGCTGCAGTTTATAGATCCCTCTGATGAACAGAATTGTGTGTTCACCTGGCATCATGTCAGCTATAATCAACATTGGCGTCTTTGGTTATTTCTTCTATTAAGAATGTAAAATAAGCAATGGGATTTCAGCATCCTCCTGGTCCAACAACTTTTTTTTGTGAAATGAATAAGCAGTCTTAAAATGCAGGGACATGCTCCAGAAATACATGGCAACAGCAGCAACCCTGTCTCCTAAAGATATCCCACTGAGATGTAAATATCTTTGGAAAGAAATGTAATGCTGCCCAGACTATGTTTTGCTGGTGTTATTATAGCAAGTGAAACATTTTTTGTTGTATCATGATAATTATCATTATACCCATGAGTCTGCAAAATGTTTATACAGCAAAACGTTCACTAACTAGCGTATTCCTTTTGTGTTCATGGTCATTAAAGCATGATCAACATTAAATTTATGTTTAGCCATTTGTTTAGGCTTTTAACCCAAACTATTATCTTTTCCCAGCCAAGTGTTCTTGTAGTCCTAAAACCACAAACCCACAACCCACACAAACCCCGGTCTCCTGTCTAAAAATCTATTGAAAGGTCCCATATAACATAACCAAAGACCACCAAACTATGAGAAAAAATCAACCCTCCCCTCTTTTACTCCTGCTCACTCTTTCAGTAGGCTAAATGTGTGTGTAAGCACGGTATTTGAATTTGCCTTCCTTCTTAAGGTTATAGAGGGATCTGTGTAGCACAGGAGACGAACCCACCCACTGAACATGTACTGAATACTATGCTCTCAGCCCCACCATCCATCAAAAAACCAAGCGGTCACTCCATCTAGCTAAAGCTGAAGGTTGTTAAGTAATTTTTCCGGTTTCTCTGCCTCAACTTTCTGTGATTAATGGTTGTTTCTGATGGACAGGTGGCTTGTTGCTAATGCTTTAGTAACAGCTAGCTGCTACTAACTGTAGCTGTTAGTACCAGCTGGCTCTGCCTGAAGCAGCAGTCCAAAGCTTCTGCTCTAATGTAAGAGATGTAAACATCAGCACACCAAACTTCCACTCCGTGCAGAATCAGCTAACTGAGCTAGCGGCTAAGAAAAAGTACAGTCAGCAGACAACGTAAATCGCAGAAAGTTGAGGCAGAGCAGCCAGAGTACATCAGAGGGGAAAGTAGGAAATATTTTCTCCATAAAATGTGATCCAGTTTCACCAAAGCCGGTGATAAAAGTTGTATTTGTACAATAAGTCTTATCTTCATCATTTCAGCCATGTTCTAGCTAGTTACTGACCCTTTGCCGGGCTCTGGGAACTAAAACGAAGTTTTCAGAAAGAGGGTGAATAAACGTGCTGAAGCAATGAAAAGTATATGAAAAACAATGTGTTAGATGAGCATTAAAGCATTTAATCGTTTCTAGTCAACCCAAAATACAAGTATGAGCCTGAATATGAGCATATCATGGGACCTTCCTTGACAATTAAAGTAAAAAATTCAAGACTTACTGTAAATCTCAAGTTTTACTCTTTCAAAAACTATTGCAACAAAATGTATAGGGTTGCACCATAAGGACCCTTTTTGATAAACAAATGTGCATAAAATATATAGCTTTCACACTGCCCTTTGACTGTAAAAAATGTTGCCAGTGAACATTATCCAGGAGGCATTTGGATTTTCTTTAGAACAGATGAGGCAAAACCTTTTCGCAGTATGTGAATGTAACTTTTAGGAGACAAAAGACTGACAATCCATATTGAGGGACAATTCCATATTCACCAGCCATTTAAACTCCAGGGCCTGGCCCATGTGGCAGGCTGGGTGAAAATCACCTGCTGCTGCAAGACTTAAGGATCACTTAGGGCACTGTCTCTGAGTTGAAGTCACTATATGGAGAAGTCATGAAAACTGCAGATACTTGTCTCAATATCGTGTCCTCAGGCTATAGAAAAGTTAACTCCTTAAAGTAAAGTTTGCAGTGTTTCTGGACCCCTTTTAGCATTAATCATTAATGACTACTTTATTTCAAAAGTAACCTTACCTTCAAAAGGGGTAAGTCTTCATTCATTTTTATCAATCTTTAGGGCTTTATCAGAAACGATAAGCTCCGTTTCTTTTCTTATGTATATGTATACCTCTGTGTTTCTGCATATTAATTTGTAAGTGTGCATCCTGGGGACATTAAATGATCAATGAGGAGGCAGTCTGGCTCTAGAGAATCTGTTGGTAATTTGTTTCCATAGCACCTCAGAGAGAGAAAAGAGTAATAGAAAAGGTTATATGAGGTTAAATAGCTGAGTTTCCCTACCAGTCAGTCAGAACTGAAGAAGTCCCTTGGATGAGGGACGAAACGTCTTCTAGTATCTTCAACTAAGTCCAGTTGCCCTTGACTTTAACCTTCTTTGGATAGCTATGACCTGGATGACCGAGAATCTTCAGAGACATCTAGCCAAATGTTAAAAACAAGCTAAATAGAAAGCTGATTATCTGTTGCATAGACTGGTCTGTAGTCTTAAAATTTGGCACATTGTTAAAAACTCAGCTGCTTACTGAGACAAACCAGCCGCTCCTCCTTCTACCAGGTAACGTTACCTGCAGGCACTGAATAACAGCAGAGAGGAGGAGGAAGAAAAGGAGGAAGAGGTAAACGTTAATGTTGCTGCTCTAGAAACAACATTTAGCTGTATTTAAAATATTAAATTCTAATCCTATAATTCATTTAAAAACACCCAGGCAGTTAATATGCACACTTCAATACATGTATATTTGTCTTATATTTGTCATTTCAATGTATAACCATGTCATTGCACATTGAATATTTTCCTCATACCGTGTAGGCCTACCTCATGCCCGTTGGGGCTGGTCTAACCAATAATCATCACCGAATAATAGTAAAGTATCGATTGTGGTATTGATAAAGAATCGGAACATTAAGCAATCTCAATAAGGGGATCAATATCAATAAAAATTAACGATCCCTATCCCTAGTAACATCATTGCTTCACAAGTACAGGGACACTAGTATATTTAATGAAAGCTGGTTCCCTTTATTTTTTCTGAAATGTTTCTCAACATAGCACCCGTCTGGAAAAGCATCTAAAGTTAAAAGAAAGATTCTTATGAAAGCACCATTAAAATTATATAAATCATGTTGTTAATTCAGCAGAATATATAATTGTCAGAATATATTGCTGTACCTGACATTGGCAAACACTATTCATCAGTGTATTCATTTTTTTCTTTAAACATTCTGATTAGCTTTGTGTGCATTTCAAAGACTGGCCTTGTCAGCTGAAAGTCAGACTTTATAAGGAAGTCACTATGTCAGTCAGAAGCTCTCTTCAGTTCATATATTTGAACAATGTGAAGACTTTCTTCAACCAAAAGAAATGGCCTTCTACTTACAATAGCAAGCCTTCGATCTTAGTCACAGCCTTCTGGATCCAAACATTCAATAACTGCTGTGAACTTTTCCTCTAAAACAACTCAATAACTTGTTTTCATACTAATAAACTAAAAAAGAACCCGGTGTCATCTGTGACACAGTATGTGTGTGTGTGGGTGTGGGGGGTTGTTGATGTACAACAAAATGTCTGGGGTAAAAGTGCATGTTGTATCAGAATGTGTATTTCAGTTTAGTACATTATTTGTTCTGGATGGCTGGCATAGCAAGATTAGCTCTTGGCATTCACCCATTGTGGCACTTCAGTGATTGGACAGGTGTATTGTGGATTGGCTTATTACTACTTTAACTGCCGAAAAGAAATGTATCAAGAGCTTGCTGTGGTCTTATGTTTTCATCGCCTTCCAACAGCAGACAGTAAAAGGGCCCATCTGAACGTGTCCAACTTCCCCGATCAGCTCATATTTCAGTCACTGTGCTAAACTATTATGATTGTGGCAGCTACACTAAAATTCACTGGTGACCAACCAAGTTACTAGTTACTTACCTTCTCCTTAAAAAATTCATAATAGTACTTTACTTATTACTGGATATTAAAAGTAACTAGTTATGTTACTTGTTACGTTACTATATTACTTTCACTGCACATGCATTTATAAGAGCAGTACCTCTTCACCTAACGCAGCGTTACTTGGATTAGTAACTGTAATAGTATTACTGTTTTGGAAATACCAATTCCTTACACACTAGTTACTGGGAAAAGTAAATAACATTACAGTAACGTGTTACTGCCCAACACTGGTGACCAAGTGGTCTATGTTGTGCTGCAATGACAATACAATTAATTTTACAGTTGCAAATTTTGGTTGGGAGAATATTTCCTAAACCATGATGTTCCCTCCCCTTCTGCATTTGTGTCATTTGTAATAATAACCCCAATATTGACAGATGATGTGGCTCTTTTCGACTTCTGGGTTGATTTTCTTGGTGAAAAATAAAATCCAGTAAGTGTAGAACAGGGTGTGGATTCTTCCAGACAAGTTGTAAGGGTTGTCGTAAGGTTCGTATTATTCCACTGCATGACTGCTGCTGTCTTTTTCCCCTCTCTCTAATCTTTGCCTTTTGTTACAGAGCAACTAAAACTCACCCAGGACCTGTGGTTCATTTGAGTGACAGCCCAAAGGATGAAGGCAAGGTGGGTAGGCAGATAAACAAAACACCAGCAACAACGCCTGGTTCTCCTCAAGCTCTAACGTTACCACAATCTAGAGAGGTGCTCTTATTTTTCTCTGCCTCTAGTTAAATCTCTGCCTTTTTTGTCATGTATCTGTCCTCCAACCTCACCTCTCTGCCTGTCCTGTATCTTCACTCTTTCTTTCTATCTGTCTGCTTTCTGTCTTTCATTCCTTCTGTCTAATTGGGCACCTCTCGCTCGCTCAGCCTTTCTTTCTTTTTGGCTTACACAATGAAAACCATTCAGTACACCTCTCCTATTGTTGCTCTAGTGTGCCTTTTCTCTGTTCCTCGGCTTCGCACATATAAACACACACGAAAAGAGGTGTGAGGGACCTGCAGGTAAATATCCTTGGAGGAGGCTTTTCAGGGTCATGATGAAGTCAAATTGGTTGGAAAAGTGTCAGGTTGAGGTTGCTTTAAAAGAGAGGTCATTGAGAAGCAAATTGATTTTCCTGATGGATTTTGCTGCCTCTGTGTGAAACCAGACTTGACAAGCTGTGAAGACATAAAAACGAGTTATGAAATATACGGCTGCTGTCACATACTGCCATCACTTACTGCAAGAAAAGACACAGAGCTGCATGTAGCATTTAAAAGAAGTAAGAACTTCACCTTAAGGTTGAAGTTTTTATTTCTCAAAGCCTCACGATTCTGTGCTTAAGTTTCACTCCATTATTGTGATAAGTAAATTGCCTAACAGTGCCAGCTTCCTCATTAGGACAAAAAAGTCTGTCTGACAGCATGAAATAGACACACATTCATGCTAAGAAAAATAAATTCTATGCTCAACTTCACTTCAAGCATCAATGATCACTCGCACAGGTTACGATAAATGGCCAGGTAAACATCAATTTCAATTTAAAGAAAGCTCTGACACTGATCAGTGGCTTCCAAGGACACACTTTACAGAGTCCCTGGAGCATTAAAGGGTCCACTTACCCAAATTGCAAAGAACAAAGAAATTGGCCAGTTAGCTTACTTTAGTGAGCATAATAGCTCTATTAATAGCTCTATTAAATTTAGGTGAATCTTTTCCAGGGTGCTGGTACTGTGAATGTTAGTAATTTTATGTCCAGGAGTCTGCAAATGGTTCACCTATCGAAAACTTAAATTAATGGCCCAGGTTTTTATTTTCTTCCATCACTGAACTCACCCTGGGACATGCTTCAAGATGGGACGGGCCTTCTGCACAAAACTCTTACTCAGCAAAGATGGGATATAGGCTACTATCAAAATTTATTTATTTATTATTTCAACCAGTATGAATGTTAATTTAATTTCATTAGGGTAACATATCAATTATGAATCATTCATTTGATCTAACTCCAAGTGATAGCCCATCTAGGCCAACCTCAAGCACAGAGAGAGAGATGGACTGACCATACCTGCAAATACTTTAGTGCTCTTTGCTTCCATACAATGAATTGAACAATTACATTGTAGAGAATCTAACTGATTTATTTAGTAATATGTAGCATGTCCATATTGACAAAAGTTTAAACATTTATATTTGTATGTGCAATCTAAGCAGCTTTGAACTTGCTCAGGTGGCCCGGTGGGCTTTCGGAGGTTTAATACTTCCAGAAAACATCTATAAAAACCAGACCAAGCTTCTAATTGAGACCTGCGTTTATTTGTCAAAACGTGTAGCCTCACCAGGCCAATAAAAGAGACAGGTATCTAATTGGGACTAGGCTTATAATTGAAGTTTCATGGTAAATTGAATGCAGCCATTATTAATGTTTGTATTAATTATGTTAATGTTTTTCCTGTCATGACAGTTACTCTGCCAGTGCAGTGAGAAAATGAGCTTGTTTCTAATGCAAGTTTCACTGGAGAGGGCATCTCATTCTCTGGCTTACCTGTTTGGTTGCATCTGTTACTTTTGGTGTTCATAGTCTAAAGATTAAGAGTTGCAAAATGTATGAGAGGCAGGTTTTTTTCCAACCCCACATGCCCTCTACTTCCCGTCTTAAGATTTGAGATCACAAAGTCTTTCGTCTCAGCAGGAGGGCTGTTTCCTCCACTGTGTCTTAAATGCTGTGCTCCTCCAACATCACTCCCTATCTCCTCTGATCTGTGATCAGATTGTGTCAACGTTGCTCTCCCCTTTCATCCTGTGTGATCGTCTTGTGGTGTGTTAGTTTTTATTGTAAGTGCACATGAGAGCTGTGTGTTTATGGGTGCCTGTTGTTTTCATTTACAGTGTATTATATGTATTACATATGCGTATCCATATCACTAATGTGTGTGAGAAGGTGTGTGTTTCTGCATACTCTATGTACTTGTGTGCAGGTTGCTGGATAAATCAATAAGTCTATATGTGTGAAGAGTAAATGAAAAAAGCAAATGTTAGCTAGTATCTGAGACCAATATTGTGAATGTAAGATGTTGTTCTTACTGGGTGACAGTTTGTTAGGGTGGGGTTCACCACCACTGTAACACCACTGCTTCCCTTTAAGAGTAAAGGTTCTTGTTTGCTAGATCATGATGAAAAGCAAATAGTACTCTAAAATTTCCAGAACTCTGCCTGGCACCCACTTCTAAATATAGATGAAGTCAAATCTGAAACCTAGAAGGTGGATTGGCAATCAGTTAAGTGCTCACAAAGACAAGTAATGTCAGTCATCATTCATTGCTCCACTTTGTGCATAACTTTAGTTAGCTTGGCAAGAGTAGACATGATGGTGTCAATATAGCAGGAAGTAGTTTTATGAACTGACGTCCTTGTCAAGCCCACCTTCTACATGTTCTACAAATCACAGGCAGAAAGCAGGTGGTGAAGTCAATTAAAGTCTATGTGCTCAGTAGTACATTCACAATAGAAACCTTCTCTCCCAATACCCACTAATATTAAAGAAACCACAAGCGGGTTAGTTTTAAAACTTTAACTAAGACTGTGTCTGAATAAAAATACTAAAGGCTTAAAGAGGAAGAGCAAAGAGTGCATTTATGTAAATTACAATGTTGGTGTAGGCTGTGCTCACCATCTCATCTCTTCCTTGTTTTCCATTGCTTGTTACTCCCCTCTACAGCTGCTTATAGGGTTTGAGAGCGGGACGATCGTACAGTGGGATCTCCGGGTCAAGAAGGCTGACTTCAGAATCTACTACGATGAGGTGAGCTGCACTATGCACTCCTGCTTCAAGAAACTTAACAACTGAAGTGAATATGCTGTCAGGTGAAACAGTTTTGTTTCTTGTCCACATCAGGGGACGTTTTCACAGGGTTTCAGTTTTTCATGGGTCATAATCTGTGGGAATCCGGCAAGAAGCAAGATATACACCAATCAGCCATAACATTATGACCACCTGCCTAATATTGTGTGGATCCCTGACCTATCGAGACATGGACTCCATTAGATCTCTGATGGTGTTCTGTGGTATCTGGCACCAAGACGTTAGCATATGTTGCAAGGTGGGCTTTGTTTGTCCAGCACATCCCACAGATCCTCGATTGGGGAATTTGGAGTCCAAGTCAACACCTTGAACTCACTGTTGTGTTCCTCAAACCATTCTTGAAACATTTTTGCTTTGTGGCAGGGCGCATGCTGAAAGAGGCCACTCCCATTAGGTAATACAATTTCCAATAAAAAAGGGTGTATATGGTGGTTAGGTAGATAGGTGGCAGAACCAAAGGTTTCCCAGCAGAACATTTCCCAAAGCATCACACTGCCTCAGCCGGCTTGCCTTCTTCCCATAGTGCATCTTGGTGCCATGTGTTCACCAGGTAAGGGACACACACGTACCCAGCCAGCCACGTGATGTAAAAGACAATGTGATTCATCAGACCAGGCCACCTTCTTTCATTTCATTTATCTGAGAATATTCTTAAATAAGGAAATCTATTCAGTGATTGGTCCTTGGCTACATCATCATCCAACATCAATGTCTGCGACACAGCAAAGTGTCGTAAATCAGCACTAAGACTGACACTTAAGATTTAGTCCTACACTTCACTCAAATTAGGACTATGATGCTTGATAACTAACTTTTAAGCTCAGTTTAGAGCCAAGAATTTTTTTAATCTTAAGTCAGTTCTTTGCAGTGTTCTTATGAGTAATTCTGAGAAGCTTGATAAATACGGGTCCTGGTCTCACTGCAAACGAACACACTGGCTTGCTCTGCCTCTCTCTGGCCCTCTCTCTTTCTTTGCTCCCCTGACTTTCTCCATCAGCAGGATGTCTTATAAACGCTCCCAAAAGACACAGAACTTGTCTTTTTTCCGGAGTTTTCACTCCACGATCTGTTATCACGGCAGCAGGTGCTCCGCGTGTCGGCTTGTTAATGATGTAGCAAACAACCGAAACCAACATCTGCACTCTGTGTTTTCACTGTTGCTTTACCTGGTCCATAATTGTAAAACATCCACCATGACCACGTCCAAGTTCTTTACCGAGTGAATTCTATCAGTGAAATGCCTTTATAAGACGACTGCTACCCCCCCACACCCACACACACACACACACACACACACAGAGCTGTAGTTTTGGAGATGCTCTGACCCAATCATCCAGCCCTTGTCAAAGTTGCTCAGATCCTTACACTTGCTTCTAACACATCAACTTTGAGGACAAAATGTTCACTTGCTTCCTAATATATCCCACCCATTGAGAGCTGCCATGGTAATGTGAAAAACAGTGTTATTCACTTCACCTGTCAGTGGTCATAATGTTATGGCTGACATATATATATAAGAATGTAGTGAAATTGTGGTGAGTAGTGGAGAAAAGGAAATTACAACAAAAATTTGTCATGTTCGCACAGAGTGGGGTGCATGATTGAAGTAAGTAAAAATTTGCTGTGGAAGTACTATGGAAATATATAAAGGGTTGTTTCATTTCTTTCTTTTTCCATTTCTAGGAAACTATGAGTGAGATTTTTTAACACTTTAACACAGCTATTACAGTAAATATCCTATGCACATATTGGGGATTTAACAGCCTCCGTCTGATCTTCCTCCCATCACTAATCCTATTAAGAAATTATCCTTTTTGTTTGCCAATATTTTCAATCTCAACAAAATGTGGCAATTTTTATCTTTGAGCAGCAACTGAACTTTTCTTACTTTCAACAAGCCGTCTTTGTCATCCAGTGCTGCATTCGCATGTCTGTGTGCCTGCCAACCAATTACGGCTTTTTGAACAAGAAGCCGTAATTGGAGGACCCAGGCATGCTTATACCAGTCCAAGCTGCCTTTGACAGCTCGCACTGCGCTGTCAGCATCTCCAACAGGTGAGGACTACAGCGTCTGTTGCCATTTCACCCAGTTAGTGGTGGAAAATAACATAAGAGTGTTCTTGGTGTCAAAGATGCGATGAAGGTCAGCGATGCATTACCTGCTCTTCCCATTATCCGCTATACAAGTTGTTTTATTTAGAGTGCACAGTGTAAAAAAAAAAAAACAACACCACTAAAACTAGAATAACCATATTTTAGGTAATATCCTCAGACTGGTCAAATATACTATATAGATACAGTTTATCTCTGGATATTTTATTCAAGGTCAGTTTGAGAATTTCCATTGCATGCACACGCACACACACACACACAAACACACACATGCATCAATGCTTTAATCTGTTTGTTTTTTTTTAAACCCGTGTGGCCTCAAACCTAATTTACCCCGTAGACATTCCCACCTCGTGGAAATGATCCTTTGCATCCGCTGCTGTCTCTCATCTTCCGTGCCAGCTCCTGTGAAGTGTCACATCCTGCTCACGTTCATTAATGTGGTTTCATGCGAATCACCTCCAGCATAGCTTAATTTCTAATTTGCATCCGTTATGTTACACACCTTTCATTTTCTTCAAAAGCACTACATCAAATTCACACATATACAGTATGTAAGCTAGGAATGGCATGAGCTTAGTTATGGATGCTTCAGGCAACCTATGACTTTCTATAGACATACGTGTTCCGTCTATGCAGAAATCAGCTTCTGTTGCTAATTAGAACAAGTTCCAAATGAAATCTCGGGTGACTTTAACTTGTGGGGAAAAAAGAGTTGGAAATAACTCTTTGAAAAAAATGCGACGTTGGCTGCATCCTATTTGCCAAATACTGCAAACTGGCTCACAATGGATTAGGATCAGGAAAGGTTAATTTAGAGCAATTGTAAGGCCAAATATCTAATGTAAGGTAATAGTTTTGACATTAGAGTTAATATGCAAGTTGACTGTGATTGCCAAAAAAGTGTATGCCCTCATAGCATTCCCTGGTTTGATAACCTCTGTACCTTTTGACATGAAAAGACGTGATTGATATTTTCAAGAAGTAAACACTACTCTTATATCTACAAAGTATGTTAAAGATATGAATTATTTCTAGCAAGGGTAAGAATTATGCTAATATGGTGTTTAAGATAACTTTGGCCAAATTGACAGTTGGAGCAAGTTTGTTGATTTTCTTCAAATTTTTCAATTAAAGTTAAAAGATCTCCGTCATATGGATTAATTAAACAGAGTACTTATATGGTTGACAAGGTTCATACAGCTGAACTACAGTCACAAAGTCTGGCAGAAATACAAGTCGAGAGGCAATAAAACAACACTGAAGTGACAGAAAAAGGGGGTCATCAGGTAGGCGTGTTTAAATGGACATGTAAGTAGACACCGGGCTGGTGTGACAGATCATGTCATGGGTCGATTGAGCAATAAAAGACAACGACAGATGAACAGTGAATGCAAGTTAACGAAAGGAAGCAGGCTCGTGCTCTAAGCTTCATTACTGCTTTGTCATTTTTTATTTGGCTTGGAAATGACCTTTTTCATAGCTGAGGTGTCTAAGCTTGCACATCACTGAGCAGTACAGGACTGAAAGCCAGTTTTCAAAGCTAGAAAGCTACCATAAAACCATAAATATAAATTAGCAATTCTATCAAAACCCCATAGATATGTTGTAATTTTGTATTACATGCAGTAGAACCTTCCACATAGCATAGTGTAGATTACGTAGTATTTATTTATAGGAGTGTACTTGATAGAGCCTGACAGGTTGTGGAGCAGATGTGGCTTGTGCAGCTTTATAACTGTCAGATTTTTTACTGTAAATGTTTAAAGCATCAATTAGAGACCACTGTTGAAATAAAAAGTAATTTTGTTCTTTGCTAATACATTTTAGAATTATTCTTTTTTTTTTTACCTTTCTCTCCTAAATGAAATAAAGAGAGATTCTGAAGCATTTTAAAGTAATCTTAAACATAAAATATGGCATGTTTGTATAAATCCATTCCCTCTGTCTCATTGGTACAGGCCATCCATTCAGTCAGCTGGCATCATGAAGGGAAGCAATTCATGTGCAGTCACTCAGACGGCAGCCTGACGCTGTGGAACCTCAGAAACACCACCAAGCCATTCCAAGTCACCTTCCCTCACGGTGAGACGCAGTGCACTTTTCTTCTTCTTTTTATTAAAGCGGGGTCCTTGGGCTGTTACCTAACACAACAGACAGAAATAGAAGATACTATAATTGAAGTTAAAGCTTTGATTTAATGTGTCTATTGAAGAATGAATTTCTGGTCCACAGGTTGTCAGTAGGTTGAGTTTCAAACTGTTAGAGGACATATAGGCAGTGAAGAATTCCATCTTCATGTTTATATGAGTTGTCAGTAGTAGAAGTGAAAATATCTTAGGTAAGAAAATACAAATTAATTTGACCTTAAACTTACAGGAAAGGCATATTCTGCAAATTAAAACATCCCAGAGCAGTGTGACCAAAATATTTGGGTTATGTCATTTTTTGACAACGTTATATGTGCCACGTGTAACGGAAAAGTCAAGTTAATCATCAGGGGGATGGTTCATCAGCTGACAGGTGGTTCTAATGCCGATCATAGAAACAACATACTGTCATTGAATTTCTGGCGCCACTTCTGGTTATCAATAGTGTGAAAAAGAGTGGGGGTTTTTTTTAGCCACAAATTCTGTACTATTCAGACCAACCTCATTGCCAGGTGCCTGTGCACTTTGAATGCATGACAAAGCAAATCTGAAAATGACAGCCATTGCAATATGTGACGTTTGTCATCTCCAGTTTAGAATATTTGGCTGTCAAGTGAGAATATTTCAACACCGGTTTGGTTGAATAACTTCTACTCCACATATAATTCTATGTACTTTTCCTCTGACTTGTCCTCCTTCTGTTTTCCTCCTAATCTGTTGTGGTTTGTGTTCTGGCAGGGCATCCTGACCTTGTCAGATCTCTGGTGATGAATAGTTCCTTACTGTGAGCTGTTATCTCTGGCAAAATCACAAACCAAGAAGGACGTGGGCGATAAATGTTAGGGACTGGGAAACAGACCTTATGACATGGTTAAATACAACAGATTGTTTATGTGCTACATATTTGTCAGTCATTTGGTATAACACGGAATCAAAGGACCATAAGTCATAGCAATCATCCCACCTCACGCTACCTTTTGAATGAAGTTTTCTAATTTTGAGTTTATTTTCCTCATGGCAATAAATCAGCAGCACTATTATTTTGAATTGATTCAATGAATTAGCATACAAAGATATTTTCTCATAAAGTGCTGTTTTTATTTTCCAGCATTTTGAAGAAACAGGCAAATACAAGCAAAAGATTTATATACCCTGTGGTTGCAGGAGAGAGCATCCTAAAAGACACACACAGCTAAGTCAAAGTGAATAAGTGTGTCTATACTTCATGGAAATAAAAAGAGCTTCACCAGAAAGTAATCCAAATTGGTTGATTATCTGGAATGGCAACAATGTTGTTACTACAGGTGCATTTGTGGTGCAGGAACTACACATTTTATGGTATTGGAACACATCAATCAATGTTTTAGTTTATTTGTGTCTCTGACAGACAAATAAAAGTTTAAATTTATGCTTGCACTAATGAATGTAGACAGCTGTATAACTTGAAAGGAAAGAGAAGGAGGGCGATGGCTGTACGTTGAAAGGATACTTAAGATGAAGAGAGCAGAAAAGGGAACAGAGACATTTTCTTTTAAGAGGAAAAACAACTGATCAAACAAAAATAGAGTTAGAGGTAAAACACAGGGTGCACAGTAATTGAAAAATATAATTGTCACAAGGTAAGGTGGGAATCAATTATAAGTGAGGTAATCATCTGTCTGGCAGTTAGTCATTATGATTAACCTCCGACAACTTAAAGAAGATGCTGATTTTATGTTTCATGTGACTTTTCTTTTCTTGTGTGTTCTCTTGTACAGATTACATAGTAAGAAATAGACAGTGTGCATATTGATGGCATGCAGCAGTAAATGCTTGGACTATGTTATGGGTAACTATATAGCTGGAGGTTTGACCTGTATCAAAGCATTACCAAGAGGTTTGGCCTATTCTCTTCTTTCTGTGCTTTCCTGCTTTGATATTTCAGTATGTGTTGCCATCCTGTACCTTTGAGCATTATCAGTGATAAGTCACTGTCACCCAGAGCTTCGACTGCCTAACACAGATAAAGGATTAAAAGCAAAGTGTGAACAACTTTAAACCACCTGAAATCACATGTATATAAAGTGTATGTATGTATATGTAGGGAATATAATGCAACACAGATTGTATTTCATAATGACAAAGCCTTTACATTAAACATATTTGCAAACTATTAATCCTTAGTCTGTCTGCAAAATGTTAACGAATGCCATTTGTTACTATCCATATATGCATGTATCCCCAGTGTTGTGATATCCGTTCACAACACTGGGGATGATACACCAAGTACGTGAGCGCCATTCCCCTTACAATATGTGGGATACAGAACGCAAACCTCTCCCTGGTCTTCGGTGTTAACGTCATGTGCTTTGTACACCCTCATCCACCCTGAGCACTTAAATTCCTTCAAAATGTATTTAGCAAAACCACATGCAGTCGTGCTCACCCCTAGCATTAAAGTTGATGTTTATTTGAATTAATTTATTAAGGTTTATTAAGGTTTATTGTTTACAGAGCCAAAATGTTTAAAATTATTAGTATTTGCATTCTATTGTTTTGAGAAATAAAGAATAAGTTGAAGCTGTTGCTGCTGTAAATATATAGATTAGATAGTCAGTGGGCTGAATAAAGTCACACTTTTTATTTGTTCATTTTCTGTTATCAAGGATCTAGCGTGAAATTGCTGTATTCCATTTTCTAAACACAGGAGCAGTGAACATCTTACAATTTAGAAATTCTATTTCATTCTTCATTTGTTCAGAAAGATGTTTTGTTCAGAGCACTATGCCCATGAATTACACCCCAAGGTCAACTGCCTTCCAGCCTCATTGTATCAAAGGCAAAATCATTTCATTATGTGAAGTGGGAAAAAAATAACTCTCCTTAACGCACTAACACTGATAATGGTCTGCCGTTCCCTGAAAAGAAGAATTAGAAACACAGTAATCAGAAAGTGAAGTGGGAAGTATGAATAAAAACAATTTCTTGTGCTGGAACTTTGTCACAGTCAGTTTTATAGAGACATTGTAGTTTCATTATGATTACAGTTGTGGAGGAAAGAGTTGTGAGCTTGGAATGGTAGGTATGCTAAATAAAATGATTAGCACGAAATGGGAAAAAAGATTAACAACACACACAATCAGAGTTGTACGCATAGTTTCTGCTTTGTTGCTTTATTGTATTAAATATTTTTTGTCTTAGTGTGTTTTTGTTAATGTTGCAGTGCTTTGCTCCTCAAGGCAGATTCTATTATTCTATTCTATTCTATTCTATTATTTTATATCATATGAATTGACTGTAATCTTGTAATTTTAAGCAAATGCCCTTCTCATTTTCTACTCTTGTCGGTATTTGATGTACTACAGTATGCTCATGATTTCTAGTGTTACACAACAAGTAACCAAAAAGTGTGTATTAGTTCCAGAAGTTCTAATAGGAAATATTAACAACAAATGTGGTGTTGTCTTAAAATGTTGTCGATTCTTTTGCTATTTCTTTTAAATTCAGGAAAGATACAGAAAGATGGGAGGAAGGAGTCATGTAAACCCATACTCAAAGTGGAGTACAAGACATCGAGGAACAGGTGCGTACTTTTCAAGGAAATGTTCAGATCCAGATTGCCTGATTTCCTTAATTTTCCTGATTACTGTAAATTATGATTTGAATAGAGAAAGGGAGAGGGAGATTTATCCTGTGGTTATTTCATCATGTGGTGAATTAACCAGCTGGTTAATTCTTATGAAAACCCCATTGGTGCTAATCATAAGCCAGAAACAGAAGCAAAAAGCATTTAAGTTTTTGGCAAATCATTATTTTATGATTGTAGCCCCTTAAAATGTGATCATGGGGAGGGGTGAGTGGAATTACACGTTTTATTGTAATAGTATACAGTTTTAAAGCATTGTCAGATAAATGAGAGAATTGGCAAAAAAAATACTTAATTGATACCTACTTATATATTTTATTTGTTCTTTTTTATTCAATTATTTGGTCAGTAGCTAGTAGTGAGTAGCTTGTAAATAGATTTAATTGATTTATTCATTCAATGTGACATTTATTTCAATTGTTGGCTGATCAGCTTCAACCACTAGCGTTGATACACTCTTCCTAAAGTCCTGTTCTCCCTCCACAACAGCGAGCCTTTTGTTATCTTCTCTGGGGGTCTTTCATATGACAAAGCAGGACGTCGGCCAACATTAACCATCATGCACGGCAAGGCTATCACTGTGCTGGAGATGGACTATCCTATTGTAGAGTTCATGGCCCTCTGCGAGACTCCATACAACAACGGTAAGTGCATACAATGACAAAACCGGTGTCACAAATTGTCTGGATTCAGCTCAGTGGTTTTTATGGTTTTAAATCAATGCAGAAAAAGTTTTGTTTTATCTTTGTCCACATTTTGAGCTATCATCTCACTAAAATGGAGGGAAATGGAATTGTGTTTGTGTTGCATAAAGCTTTGAAAATTACAATCAATGGATTAAGCATTATCCTCTTCAGTTTGGCTTTGTGTCTTACAGAGGTCCAGGAGCCTTACGCAGTGGTGGTGCTTTTGGAGAAGGACTTAATCGTGGTGGATCTGACACAGAGCAAGTATGTGTTTCACATATATGAGCACATCTTCCAGCAGCTTAGCAGCATGTGACTGATGGCAAAATGAGAGTCCCATCATCACATGTCAACCTTTGAGATGAGATGATATCACCTGGCAACACCTCAGGGGAAATACCATTCATCCATAAGCCAAATCCTGTCACAGTCAACAACAAAATGAAAGAGTTAAAGAACTAACCAGTGACACTCGAATATATACTTCAGGTAGAAAGAGAGGTCACATGCTGTCCTTTGCGTAACTGACATGTCACTTTGCTCTCAGGGAAAATGCTACTTCAATCGTTGTTGAAAGGAATGAAGGTGGAGGTGATCATCCTAATGTGATGCACCTAAGGTTAGGGAATATATTTGAATAGTAGCTAAACACTATAAAGTAGATCTGCAGTATGGTGTAAGGCTATAAATTAGGTTAACTAGTTGATTAGATTGTCTCATTAAAGCTGTTAGATACAAATATCTCCTGATACAGCTTAATGTAGTTTTAACTTGTTCAGATTGTCTTTTTCGACATTGTAAAGTAATTGATTAGCTGCTAATTGTGTTTAAATTGTCCAGTATAAATAAGTCAGTGGCCTGCACCCAGAGGGTGTAGATTTGATCGCTGATACACAGTGTGTATCCCAGTTTTTCTGATTTCATTGAATTAATGCGGCGTTCATGTAAACACATCAATTATCTCCTCGTTATTTCATTATGACTTCAACTTCCCTCTCTGCCCGTTTTGCCATAGCGGTGTGTGTTATACTATAGCGTATCATACTCGTGTCTCTTGCAGCTTCCCTGTCTTTGAGAACCCTTACCCCATGGACATCCATGAGTCTCCAGTTACCTGCACAGCCTATTTTGCAGAGTGTCCGCCCGACATTATCCCCATCCTCTACTCTATAGGAGCTAAACACAAGAAGACCGGCTATAGCCAAAAGGTAGGAAGGGGAAAATATGAGGAAGGAATACCCTCCTTTTAACATGTATTTGTCTCTTTTTTTTTGCCAGTTCCAGTCTTTTTTGGTAATCATTTGAACTTATAATCTTTAGGCATTTAACGATGATTTAAGTAAAAAAATATTCTTTTTGGTAATGCTCCTCAAAGTGATTTCATTTAAAATGTTGTCGATAAATACATTATGTTATTAACACAAAAGTTATTATGGTGCTTGTAGAATGGTGTGCCTGTGCGGTCAACTACTTTATGATCTCTCAAGGTTACCAACATTAAACTGAAAAGTGAATGATCTTCAGAATTTATGAACAAATACAGACCTATAAAATAATTGCTGCTATGAACCTGAAGCAAATTATGGGTTATCAGTAATATTAGTCATTTTAATCAGTACACTTTTATATTTGTGGATGTAAACATGTGCTTTTGGAACAAGGCCCAGTGGGAGAAAATCAAAGGATGTTGTGTTTGGGTTTTCAAATTAATCACTCTGTCTGCAACCATATCAGGAGTGGCCAATCAGCGGAGGAACATGGACGTTAGGCTCCCACACCTACCCAGAGATCATCATCACCGGGTAAGTCACAAATATTGATAGCAATATTTTGAAAGGTACAGAAAGACCTTCTAAATCCAAACACATGGCGACCATTTGCCCAAACCTTTTGAAGAAAAGTGTGCAACAAAACCCATCACAATTAAAAGGGACTCTGTGTCCTCACTCACACAATGAAAGTCCAGACCTGTTTGATTTGGTTTGATCTGTGCCAACCCAGCACAGCACGACCCTGAGGCCATACTGCATTGTAAGGGGTTGACAGAGATGGTAACCTGTTCTGAAGCATGTGCACTGGGGTGGTGTCTGCTTCTGGGCAACACTCACAGGTATCAGCAGCAGTCCAGCCATATGAGGCCAACATGGGGATATTTTCTCTTTAGGACACACAGTATGAACAGTCGAAAAATTCTTACATCCTTGGCTCAGAGTAGTTTTATTGTCCCACAGGAGACTAGGAATTCAACTTCACTTTTCAGCTATCAGAAACTATAAGGAATGGTCAGCTGACGATTTCTGCACAGTGTAAGATTTAAAGTCAAATGTTTAAGAAAACTTCTCATATAGCTGTTACGTTAATTACAGTTGTGTTAAAGCAAGGAATAATGTTGAATGCCATATATTTTCTTCCTGTTCGATCCTTAGAGTAATAAAGGCACACTAATTTTACCTAATAGACAAAAAACCCTATCCTTTCTCTTTGTTCAGACATGCTGATGGATCAATTAAGTTTTGGGACGCATCTGCAAGTAAGTCCACTCTCTAAGCCTTTCTGTCTGTCTCGTGGTCTCGGAGCCATAATGAAGTGAAACTTTTGTTCAACTCAGGCTTTTGTTACACAGCATGCTTAATCAAATAACATTTTTTCATGAATTCCGTGGTGACTAATTTCAGATTTGCCATGGGCTCTGACCTCATAGCAAATGAGTAACACCACTGTGATATGAGATGCTCCACAACAAATTAGCCACATGGCCCGTTGTCATGTTCACAGATGGGTACACACTAAAACCCCGCCATGTAAATGTGTGGTTTTCTGAAAATCTCTTGAAAAAAAATATTGACAGCTGTGGTCTGGATGACATTTACTTCCATTGCATCGTATCTACCTTGGCTTAACTTTCTTGCTATAGGCTGATTGCTTAGTGATACCCGTTTATCCCAGCCTAACAGACCCTCAGAGTTCAAAAACACAAAAGATCTTCTTTATTTCTATTTTTTATCTTTACCTTACATTTTAGGCATCTTTGATCAACACATTTTCATCACATACAGTGATGGTGCATGTTTCCAAGCACATTAGCTGGTTTTTGTTGATGAAGGCTCAGCACAGTTTTGTGTAAAGTGTTAATGCAATATAATTCATAGGGCTGCGGTGATAATCACTCTCCGCTCAGCCAGTCACATTACTTGCCTAATGCTGCAGCTAATAACGTGCCCGTGCATAGTGAAAATGGCTCACGAAATGGAGAATAGAGATGAGATTTTGTACAGTATGTTGAAAATAGTATTATCTGGAAGGTGGCGAATAGCAAAATGTAAACACTTCTGCTAAACTGAATCCAAAAGCAGATGGCACAGCTTTTAAAGGATTAGGCTGCTGTTATTTTATCTTTTTATTATTATTATAAAAATCCCATGTGAAGACCAAAACCAACAGTGAATTTATCCTTTGTGTAGCCACTGTCTGATAAAGCGTATCCACCCACAGCACAGCCCACTGTCATCTAAAAACACTTCAATCACCGTTACACTGGGCGACGGATTCCTTCATTACATAGGTGCTACCACCCCTGGCAGTGTCAGTTGATAACTGTGGTAAATAAATGCGTACTTTACATTTACAATATTTTCACTGAAACAAACCATTCCTTTAACCAGTCACACTACAGATGTTATACAAGCTGAAGACCTCCAAAGTGTTTGAGAAGCCAAAGCCTGGTGAGGGCCGAGCGGCCGACTTGGTGGAGGATGACCCCTTCGCTATTCAAATGGTCAGCTGGTGCCCAAAGAGTCGCATCTTCTGTGTGGTTGGCATCTCAGCCCACATCATCCTGTATCGCTTCAGCAAATATGACGCCAACACTCAGATAGTGGTGAGTGAGTTATAAGGAGTGCAAGTAAGGTCCAGTGCATTTCTTCCAAACTCCTGCTACCAAATGTTATATGATTTCTTTTCAGAAATATGTTATGTTGTGTTTTTTTTAGAGGAAAATCTAATCTGTGTAACACTAATTCACTGGATGGGGTATTGCTGTAGTAGTCACAATGTTACCGGACTAAATATATTGTGACTAGTTGGCTATTAACAGTATGATAGGTAGATTGAGCCATACTTTTGTATCTGTGTCATCCTCAGTCACTAGAGGTGCGTCTACCTTGTGAGTCGGAGGATGTCATCTCTCCATCTGAGAATGAAAATAATCCCTCCCTCTCAGAGCCCGGCTCTCACTCACCCCACCACCAACACCCAGCGAGCCCCAGCAGTGGGACACCTGAGGGTGTCAAAGACAGCATCCCCCATCTTAAGTAAGATCTCCTCACAAACATCATAGTAACAAATATCTGTTTAACAAATCATTTGGTCTTGCAGGTGCCAGGAATTGTTTATGAGAACATTACAGTAATGCACAACACTGGACATCTTACTCCTCTGTTGATTTAAAACAAAATTGTTGTTGTTGTTGCTTGTGACTCAAATAGTGGGTCAAATCTAAACTTGCGCCACCTTGTAGTGTTTGCACTACAGTGACCTTTCTAATGTGTCGTGGGATGAGGGTATATAATAACAGGTTACCCTCTATAGCTGCGTTTTGACCAAAGGAACTATACCCCGGAACTAGGAACCTTTGGAGGAACTCACTGTTTTTCTACCGGAGGGACCAGGGTCTAAATGTAGTTCTGGGGTCTTCATTTTAGTTTGTTTGCAAACCAGTAAATCACAATCAACACAAGTCTCGCCGATGTCCGCCTGAGATGGTATGTTGGCATTAAATATATTGGAAATAGCAGCCAGCTTGCAGCGGTGTGTTTACGCTAAATACTGGGTCGTAAGTTGTTGTTTTAAGTTGTCATCAGTCAGGAGGTTTTTACACAGAGCCGAAGTCGGTCTCCTCCTCTCCAAAACAAGCGGAACAGCTGATTAGAGCAGGTAATTAAGCTCGTTAAACATCCCGTTCCTCCGACACTCAGGCGACACGGTCCTACAGCTGATCTTCAGCTCTTGTCGCTGGAAATGTTTTAATAACCTTCCAAACTGTCGCGATTTTATTTTTGTGTTGCTTTTTCTGTGCTGGAGTTATTTTAAGAACTTTATGGCTTTATCCAGCTTGTTTGGCTATTATTTAATGTGTAATGAACTTTATCGTGTGTCTCTTCATTATACTCCCACACAAAAAAGCTGCTCTAATGGTCAAGCAAAGCCTATAGTTTTTCATTATATTCCAGTCAGATGTTCATTTATAAATGTTGCTCATGGATAGTGGTGTCTAGGAGATGGACAGGGAGGTTTTCCAGGCACGTCCAGCAGGGAGGAGGCCTCTGGGAAGACCCAGGACTAGGTGGAGAGATTATATCTCCACGTTGGCCTGGGAACACCTCGGTATCCCCCAGTCAGAGCTGGTTAATGTGGCTCGGGAAAGAGAAGTTTGGGGTCCCCTGCTGGAGCTGCTGCCCCCGCGACCCGACCCCGGACAAGCGGATGAAGATGGATGATGGATGGAAGGATGGATAGTGGTTAAAATAATGATGCCTGTGCATTGCTTTGTATGGCTACAGCCTACGTCAGCTGGTTAATTTGCCTAATCTCCCCTCTTTGGAACACGGTGGAAACGCACGAAAAGCGGCTTATGTCGCCATCACGTAGTTGTTGACTAGATTTCAAAGTGCTGCTATTAGCCTGTCAGAGCCATAACACCAGCAGGTTCCATCATTTTACATCGTGACCTGATGACACGCCACCACGTTTGACTTGTTTAATACCTTTGCCATGTTTAACACCCTATGCAGCTTCAGATTGTATGATATATATGATTGGACATGAACATTTGTAGCAGATTTATCTGTCATCTGTTGTTCCAACTGCATTTCCTTGCTTACTAGCTATTTATTCGTTAGGTGACACTTTTCCAGTGAATTTGCATGTTGAGGTTTTTGTGTCTGTTGTATGTAACACAGTACTGTAAACTCTTTTTTATGTCTGCTTTCAGGGTGAAGGACCGGACGGTTCGGGTTCCTCCTGGCTACCAGGCAGAGCTGGTCATCCAGCTGCTGTGGACAGATGGAGAACCTCCACAACAGATCACTAGCCTGGACATCAACTCTGCCTATGGCCTGTAAGTCTTTAGATGCACGACAGTCTGCCTGTGAGCTGGTCTTCTTAAACATCCGTGTGATTATTCATTTGTCTGTCTCGGGATAGCAATCCCTATTACAGTGTTGCTGAAGGAACCTGAGAGACCAAGAAGGGTTTGACAGCTGATAATTGGCTAGTTTAAACCACAGCTTTAAGCTAGCCAAGATCCAGATAGTTCTATGTAGTCCTCTAGTTGTAACAGAGGAAGTAAATGTTGGTGGCTCCAGATGGCAGCAAGAGGGAACTGTTTGACAGTGGTTCAAACCTAAACCTCCAGAAAATATCGAACACACTGACTGTAAAGCGCACACAGCATGCTTGTGTGTATGCATAGTACTACCCATCTGTTTGTATCTGTGTCTCCATTGGCCTGTTTCTCAATTTATGTATGCTGAGTTTTCTGAACCATTATAGTAATATTTAAAAGGTTAACTAACTGTATCTGGATGCAATATTGCCATGGTTGCAGTCACCAGTTAGCAGATATTACAGTAATATTATTAGTTTAGCAATAGCTTAGCAAGTGATAATCCACAACTAGCTATTGTTTTTTCTTAGGTTTGTAGTACATTTACCCCTGTATGGTTAGATTGTTGCTACTACTGACTGCAGTTAAAATACCCTGAGCACAGGGTTAGAACAGTATTTAAACTGTGAATAGGTTTGAGTTGTACTGACATATAAATGTAACATCTTTCAGCCAATCAGAAAAAACACCATATTTTCTGTGGCCATAGCTGTAACAATGAATAAAGTGAGTGAAGGTCAGGGTGGTGGCAGTTGTCAGCAGCAGTAGCAAGATACATGGAGAGATGGAAGGTTAAACAGGCCAGCCTGTCATGTGAATGTGTGTGTAAGTGTGTTATTATGGGGAGAGCAGTTCAATTCAAGATAGTGTACTGGACCCCTGAGTCTGTACCAAGCCACTAGTGGAAATTGGGTGACATAATCATAATTTGTGTCTGTCTTTCTTTCCTTTTTGTCCTTTCATTTTGGATAGCTTATTATTGTGATGCTTTTTTTTTTAAGTACCTGATGTTGACTGTAAACAATGGTTGACATTTTGTTTTTATGTTTTCAGTTTTCAAAATTGAAAAAATGAAAGACAAAAGAAAAGGTTAAAACACGTTGTGTTGGCGTTGGTGAAGAGAAGTTGAATGACTTCCTGGGACCGGAGTGCTTTAAGACCACTTTGCTGTGAATAGAAGGTCTGTTGGCAGAAACCGATAAAATCACAGCTCTTTTCTCTAAAAAGCTCTTTATGGGTCAAGGCAGAGCCACTGTTTGCCTCTCTCCTCTAAAGCTAGTCACAGCTTGAATAGAGTTGCGGAAATTGATTAATTTTGTTTTTTTCTTTTTTGCTTGCTCCGTCACACTTACTTATGAACACGCTCAACTTTAGACCCACACAAAAGGAAAAGAAACGATTTCTGCTTCTTTTTACTTTGCTTCTCTTTATCTTTTTCTTTTTACACTATAGTATGTGCTGTACGAAAATCACAATAATGATTATTGGTGCAAGCAGAATATAATCATTACATACATCATTGACGCGATTTTAAAGTTGTGAAATAAGCATTTCATTACAAGACAGTAATGATGAACAGCAACATAAAACATAAAAACACATTACACAACGGCTTTATGTGAAGAATTTAAAGAGCAGGAAGTCACTGCCACGTTTATGTCTTTACACATTACTAAAGTTACTCTTTTGCAGCTTAATTAAAGAATATCTGTAAAAAAGTAAAGAGGAATAAAAATGGGGGATTATTTAAAGTTGCTATTATCCCCTTTATGACCTTAATAAGATGACAAGATGACACGCTGTAACAGAACTCTTACCTTCGCCACCATTTCTTCAGCTGTTGAGCCTTTAGCTTTGATATATGAATGTCATGGTTTCCCGGTAAGGTTTTTTTGTGTTGTAAGGCTCAAGCTGTGTTGAAGTGTCACTTGTACTGAAAGGCTGGATAAGGTCAGGGTTTAGCCACCGCTGCCTTTAAACTTGTTGGTTTTCTAGTGTATTCTGAGTGATGTGTTCAGAGGCGTAATCGTGTTTGTGCTATTGAAATTGTTTACATAGAGTACATGACAAACAGCCCTTAGTAAAATTTTCCAAATTGAATATAACACTGTGGCTGCTGTTGTCATGACTGGAACCATGTGACCTTGTGACTGTAATGTGAAGTGAACCAGACGTCTGCATGGTGGATACAAGAGAGAAATGATGGACTGGGAAGCTGCAAATTTGAGTGACATTTGTGTCTCGCTTATTTTGTAATTTGAATTGAAAGGCCGCCGATAGAGTCATTTGTTGTGAATATCATCTAATTCTGGTCAGCGCCTGATTAAATGTAATGTCTTTTGTTCAAAGACAAACAGATAACCTACTGCCAGCAAGTTTCTCTTGAACAGTTAAGCCAGAGGCTCTATGGCAAAGAGGGGTTGCAGGTGGCAACGGGTCTTCTGGGAAACATGGTATTAATATTCAAAAACAGCAGCAATTTCAGTGTAAGATAAACACAGGCTTTTGTTGACAGTAATTACCCCAAAATATCAAAGTTAATGTGACAGTGTTTGCTAGTGTTACATGTAGCCCCTTTAATGTCAGCGAGAATAACCTGGTGAAATAAATCTGCCAACAGTGGAAATGTCTCAGCTGAATAACATTCTTTCTCCTCCATGTAAATGGTGGTTTGTGTGTGTGTCTGTGCATGTGCACGTGCCTCCTTGCTGCGTTTGTGTGTGTCCAGTTTGGCGTTTGGGAACTGTAATGGCCTAGCGGTGGTGGACTACTTGCAGAAAACCGTCCTGTTGTGTATGTCGACACTGGATCTGTATGGAGCCGCCGACCCCTACCAGCGCCTTACCCGCTCCCCTCGCAGGAACAGACAGTCCACCTCAGGTAGCACACATACACACACACACACACACACACATTCACATACCTATGGGATCCTGCCACTTACAGATGCACGTACACAACTAACATTAACTGTGCAACCACATAGTAAGTTGTCAACAATGTAGTCATTACATCCAAACTGTCATCTCTTTTCTATTCTCCTGTCTTCTCTCCCTCGATCTCCACAGCTGTTTCTTCTTCCTACTTCTTCTGTCTCCCTCCTCTGTATCTGTTCTTCTTTCTAAGGTTTGACTGATCGGTAATGCAAATCTATCTGTAATCAATAATTAGATGCAGGTGGTGAGATTTCCTGTATAGCTCATCAATACCACTACATTTGATCAAGTTAAGGGTTTCCCCTACAACAGTGATTGTCAACTGGCGGCCCGTGGGCCACATCCGGCCCTCCAAAGCTTCCTATCTGACTCACAGAATGACCACTGTTGAAAATGTTGCATTATTTATCTACTTTATTTACTGTATTACTCTGCTGTATTACTCTAAACTGTGCCAAATTTCCCGAAAATTAACACATTAAGTTATTGCTAATGCAAACTGAGCAATTCCTACTGCTTAAGCTTCACATTAAAAACATTTAACTGACGAAACACAAGTTGACTTATATTATGAAGTAGTCACAGGAAATGCAATGTGTTTGTTAGTGAGATTAGTGCTGACCGCCATCAAAACAATGGTCATTTTCGACATTGCATGACAACAGGTCAGTTTAAAATACTGCAGCGAGTAATGTAAGAGTCAGAACCAGCCATAGTGAGCTGTAAGCTGAAGAACTGCAGGCGACAGGCCGCACACCTCTAGATTCTCAGCCAGGTAAACAACTCCTTTCACTTTCACTGTTCCCAGACTCATGTTGTGTGCAGCATAATTATGGAAAAAGCTTGATAGTAGTTTGTTAAGCTGCCCCAGACTTGTGACCTGTAGTATCAAAACACATTTGCTATTACCACCAGTCACTACAGGTCAAATACACAATAATGGTAAAAATGCATAATAGTATCAAAACCTGTTACCAGTTACGTCTACAATTACATATTTGAATCATCAGTCCTCAGTGAACTGCCTCCTTGGCAGAAGTTTAGAATCTGTTCACACTGAAATAAGCTAATAAAAGCTTTCATTTTATGAAAGTGCAAATATTAATAAATACTTATTAAGCCTAATTTAGAGATATTACATTACTGTTTGCATAAAATATGCTCCATCAACAAGTACAGTCCAGTAATAGAGGTGTCTGAATCAGCATTCACAAACCTGCATCAGTCCAACCTTATTTCTTTCCTGTCTTTGCTCTTTTCCTCTAACACAATAACATACAAAGACAAAAACACCCGTCCATGTCAGTATGCCTGTCACAGATCTGCACTATGACATGAAGTGCATGTTAACAGGCTGCGTGTCATTCCACATTGGCATTATTATGCATGTTGTCATTTGATTTTTCTGTCCTTTCTGTTTTTAGTCCTGCTTGAGCATAGATCTGTAGTCAAAAGCCACAGAGGTCTCGTACTTCCTAACCCCTGCCTCCCATTTCTCTGCTACTGATCTTAGCTGGTGATGGTGTCAGAAATTCTCTTAAACACAAGCCGCACCTTTCTTATTTCACTCTATACTAAACTCTGGATTTGAGGGCATCTCCGCTCCAGTGGTGTAATATTTTATGATGTCTAAGGTCCTTTAAGCAATTTAAAGTACTTTCATACATAATTCCCACAAGTGTAGCTGGAATTGCTTTACCTGTATTCATTGAGTGAAGGAGAATATCAAGGTAGATGCAGGATTTGCTGTTGCCTAAGTGCTTTTATTGACTACCACCACACATATTGTTCCCAACTTACTGTTTTGTAAAAGTCTTTCTGTGTTGGGTCTTTAAAATCAATTTGGAGACGGAAGAAAAAATGAAAGCGTGCAACTGTGCCTTTTTTCTGTACCCCAGGTGGTGTTGGCAGATCTCGAGCACTTGCTATGCTGGAGTTAATATAATACTGAAGACAAAACTTTAAAAACCCAGACAAAAGGCCAAATGGAGTACATGACACTAAAGCTGCTGGCCTCGTATTCCTGCTTTTTAAAACACAGTTTTCTGTCCTTCCCACAACATCTTTAGCTGTCGCTGTCACCACACATATCTGTATATGTGTACTATATATATGTAAGTCAAATTTAGTGTTTTCATTTTATAAAATGATGCTAATTATTGATTATTTAGGTGTGTTTCACTAGATATAGTGTAATGCATTATTATCAGCCATGGAGAAAACTATATAAACAAAATGCAATGTAAAGCAATTATTTGATGCAACAAGAGATTCATTTATTTTGATGCTGCTTTGTACATAATGATATGTTGCCTGCTAACACAGTAATTTGCATTTTGTGCAAATGACCAATCACATCAGCGTTTCTGGGGTTTGTAGCAGTAGCGGGTAAATCTTGTCTGTCCTCCCCCTGAAACTAACTCAGTTGCTGCTTGCTCTCACTTTCTTTTCCACTCTAAGCCTGTGTGTTCTTCTCTCTTCCCCTTCCCTCCTTTTTCGTCCCCTCCCTTTCCTACGTCCTAAATTTTTTAAACTCCAATCCTTCCCCATCCACACATTCCTCCTCTCCTTACCCTGTTTCTTTCTTTGCTCTCCTTTCTACCTTGTTTCCTTCTGCCCACTTACTTGCACAACTCTCTGCCACTTTTCTTTCTTTCTTGCCTCCCTTTCTTCTCTCATCTCTCCCTGCCCTGAATCTCTACCTACATTTCTCACTCTTCATTCCTGCCCTCCATCCTTTCCCCCACTCCTTCCTTCCCTCTCCTCCTCCTCCCACCTTATGGTGACTCTGTGGTCGCTGGTGTGGGCATGTGGGCCTGCCTGACAGAGTTTTGCATGCGCGGCCTGTCTAACTTTTATTCAGATTCAAAGAAAAGGATCCGTACATCCTATCAGAGTAAGTCGGGCCTTCCTGAAGGCTGGGGGACACTGTGTTTGTGTGCGGGGTTGGGCAGTGTTTTGGTGCAACATACTGGGACAACAGGGTTGGTAGAGATGGTTGTCATAGGGACTGGGAAGGGATTATGTGGACTGAAAGCAAAGGGACAAACAGAAGAGATGATTGGAATGAAAGTTGTTTCATATCTGTATTTTGCCATATAAAACAGAAATGCCCTATTCCAGTCATGTCCAACGGTATGTCCTTTGCAGAGAGACGGCCACTCCTTTGAGTCTGTTAAGTAAGGGCAGTTATAAATATTATATGATCCATGTGATGTATATTTTAACCGAAGCATAGATAGTGGGGTGAGTAAAGCCTTGTTCATCCACTGGGCCGAGTTCAACTAAAATGTGTGCTTTTAGTGGATGATTACAAAGGAATTCTTAATTTTATACTACAATAAAGGTTTAATCTGAGTCTCTTTCAATTTCTTGAATCATTTGTAAAGCCAGTGTAAATGATTGAAGGAAAATTTGCATTAAGAAGTTTTGCTGGAAGAGAAATAATTAAATTAATCCAAATGTTTTGAACTGTGACGACTCAGTGAGGCTGTTAATGAAGTCATTATGAACGCGGCTTAAACACCACACATTTGTACCCTAGACTAAAACGAACAGGACATTTAAGAATTTGTGGTGTTTTTTTTAAAAAGGGAGTAGGTATGACGTCTCATTCTGGCCTGTGCGTGGTGCATGTGAGCAGATTTGGTCAGATCCTGATCAAGTTTGTGTTTGTACTGTTTTGTATTTTGATTGTATGTGTTCCTTTGTCATGAGATTTGCACTACATACTGCACTATAGATGCATAATTATGGTCATGCTGACACTATAATGCCATCTAGCAGGAAATTCAAAATAAAAGTTAAATGTATCAAACAGATTGTAGTGCAGGTCACATCTGGTTTCAGCCACTCAAAATGAATCCTAAGAAACATTCACAGTGGAAGGGTAAATAGCATGTGTCAAATATTAGTAAATACCTTGATCCCCATAAAATCACTTCACTTCATCATCTTCACAAATAATGAAATACTGGGAATTGATACAGCTCATCAGAGATGATAAACCAAGGCTTTCTCTGGGTTCTGCGTGGCTGACATCAACCAAGTTGAATTCTGTTAAGTCTGTATGACTAAATAATCTTAAAATAATCTGACGGATCGTTTGTGTTCTACTTTATCTTCCTCTCGGCTGCTATTGGCTGCGGCAGGCCTTACTGAACTCTCTGACAACCAGCAGTCCGTTGACATGGAAAGAAGCAAGTCGCCCACCTCAGGTAACCTGCTGACACGTACACACTATCAGGCCCACCTTCCCTGTTTGGAAATTTATTTTGTGATTAGCACTATGAAGCTTTGCTGGGATGCTTTGTCTTTAAACGTGAGCAATACCTACAGTATGCAGCCTGTGGACACCTCACCTATCCCCTGAGCATCTTCACCTGATGAGTTTGATGTTGTATTATTTCAAAGTTTTGGAAACAGTGCAAGCAGTGCTGAACCCTTCAGTGGAAAGTTGTTGGTGAGAAACGTAATGTATTTATCAGTATGACTGCAGTGTACTGTGGCTCATCTGACGCATTTTGCCACAGCTTTCTGCTGGTTTTCCTTTATTGCAGTGTTGCGTAATAATTAATAATGTTTTCACAAAGGTAAGCAAGATAAAAGACTAAGCTTTTCATTTACACTAGCACTTTCTTTATTTGACTTTCTTGTTTGTCCAACTCTTCCTCTTCTCTTGGACAGATTGATAAGTCCTACTACTGTTATGAAAGACCTAGTGTAGCATAAAAGTAGCTAGCAGCTCATGTTTAGAGAGACACAGGATAAAAAGATGAAGTAAGCAAAGCATAGGGGTGTCCAAAGATCCACTCACATGTTTGCCTTAAACCAATGTTGATACAACGGCCGGCAGCAGTGGTGATAACCTGCACTAGATAACATGTGGCTGTAACCTAATTTTTATGAAATTAAGGCCTAATTATCTGTCTGAGATCAGATCAGAACAGTTCTCACAGCTGGTTAAATATTTATATCATCCATAATATATTATAAAAACATCCTGTGCACTGCAGTCAGTTAAATATTTGCCAGCATGTTGGAGTGAAGCAGTGCTTGACTTGCATTAAATGCTACCTGCTGTATAATGAAATAGACATGCCTCTTTAGAAAGGGATGGTGTGATGATGCATATAATGTAAATGTCCTTAATTTGTAGTTAATGTTATATATATATATATATTATGCTATATATATTATCTTGTCTCCTGCTTTGGGTTTCAGGGTCACACATTGGAGATACAGTACAATGGTAGATATGAAGGTGGTTAGTTTTTTGCAAGAGATAAGCTGCAGTGTGAGAGGACAGTGGCTCATGATGAATATCATAGATCAGAAGATAATGTAAGAGGTCCCTGGGTACTGGGTAAAGGTTGGATGCATTATGAGATTGTTTATAGTTGGCGAGGTCTGTGTGGTTAGAGACAGGGCAGATGAAAAGCAAGTATGTTTATGATTGCAAAGGAAGAAACAGAAGTGCATAATGGAAGGAGCCTAATATCAGCAGGCGCTTCTGTATCTGTCATGGAACAACATTATCTCAGCAAATTCAGAATTTAAAGGTCAAATGGAGAGTGTGTGTAAGCGTGTAAATGTGTACTTCAGACACTGCCAAGCAGGCATGCTGTGTCCTCGAGGCTCTGCGTGCTTATAATGCTTCAGTTTCCAAACAATTTAATTGAACAATTTGGGGAAAAAATCTAATTGCGATTTTTCTGCCAGACATTGCAATTACGATTTTATTTGCGATTTTTTTTATTGAACTTTTGCTAAGTTCAATATTCACTGCCAGTCTATTTTTGACGGAAGCCACGTCAAGCAGCACAGAGCAGTTGAGCCAGGCAGGAAGTCTAACACAGAACGGCACAGAGAAACCAGTCGATTTTCAAAATAAAACACACTTTGCAGACTCCCGATCGACATCAACAATATACACAGTTAAAACAGGCAACAAAAGAAACAATTTAACTACATAGCCTACTTAATCATAGTAGAAGAACAAAATCTAGGACAACTGAACAAATAATCAAAATCTGAACAAGTCAGCAAATCAGACAGGAAAAGCGTTCTTACTCTGAAATGTCCCATGTGGACTTGTAACGCCTGCAGACGGCGTAATGGGCTTACAGAGAGCCGTTATCCGTAGTTGAACCAGACAAAATGACAAATTAACAACACGTTAACAACGTGTAGGCTAAACACTTTGCCACTGCCTTGTAAAATGTACACGCCCTGTGCCCGGTCTGATTGGTGAGTAGGAACATAACAGGAGAAGCACTGAGGAGGTGGGATGTAGCATCATCTTCAGACCCATGGTGGGGAGGAAAGAAGCCCGAGAGAGGAATCACCCGCGACTGAAAGGAGTTGGTGAAGCTATTAAGCATGAATGCAGGATTGGGGCACAGGACAGCTGAGTTACCATCACCCTGAGTCCTGAGACACGACGGAGCCATAGAGAAGGCAACCACATCACTGACCCTCCTGGCCGATGGTAGAGCCACAAGTAAGGCGACCATGGGCGAAAGAAAGTTCAGGTCCGCCGTCTCTTAGTCTCAAAAGGGGCTTGGGTTTGCGTGTGTAAGACCAGCGCCAAATCCTACTGTAGAACAACAGGTCATGTCACCGACCTGTGCCTCTGCACCCCTTTCAGGAAACGCTTCCCCAGGGGGTGAGCATACACCGTTCTGTCACTAAAACCGTCATGACAGACAAGATGGCGGCAGCATAGTTTAACCGTGCTGAACGGCAGATCTCTGTCCACAAGCAGCTGGAGGAACGAAAGCACTCCGGCAGCTGACAGGCCACCGGTTCCAACGCCTGGTTCAAACACCAACGTTGGAACGCCGACCACTTGTACGCGGTCCAGAAGGCACGGGCTCACTCGAACCGGCGGAATAGCATAAGCAGCCAGGTAGGCCACAGGGTGCGTGAAGGCGTCCACCCCCAGCAAGGGGATGACCCGCAGGCTCAGTGAAACCCACAGGGCACATTCAGCGTTTTCCCGGTTGGCAAACAGATCCACTTCTGCCATGTCGAACCGGAGCCAGATCTGGGCCACCAGATAGAGGCGCCACTCATCTGGGCGAGAGCCCCTCCTTGACATGATGTCCGCCCCTCTGTTCAACACGACAGGGATGTAATCCGCTCTGATGGAGAGCAGATGAGTGTGCGCCCACCCAGTCTAAGTAGGCCTCTGCAGCCCTGTTGTCGGTGCGGACCGGCACGTGGTCCCGCAGCAGAGGGGCGAAGTTTCAGATCACCTTCCACACCCTGAGGAGCTCTGGCACGTTTGTGGAGAGGCATGTGGCCCTACCACTTGAGAGAGACAGGTCCCGCCACTGCCCTTAGGGAGGCGTCTGTGAAGACCGAGATACGGGATGTGACCCTGCCCAGGGGAACCCCGACTGACAGAGAGAGGGTCCCGCCAGTAGGCCAGATTCGAACCCACAGACAGAGTAACAGCAATCAGGCGCCGTCTCTGTCTCACCGTGTTGACACACAGGCAGATGAACCACCGCTGCAACCTCCTCATGTGCAGGAGGCCCAGGCGGACCACCACGACCCATGGGGGAGGGGCCCGTCTCAAAGGGCTGGGATGCCGGCCGTGGGGGGGCCAGGCAGGCAGCAACCTCCGTGTTCCGCCAAACAGGAGAGCTTAGCACCTGGCGGGGAGAAGGGAGGGTCATGGGCGCAAACACACGCCGCCATGCAGGAGGGAGCCACTCCCTGTGTGGCGGGCACGTGCGAGTCAATCTGACGGCAAGGCACGGCCATCGGGGGAGCCGAGCCAGTACTCGCTCCACCAGGGCGCTCCGCCGCTCACATCGTGAGAGACCTTCACACACAGTCAGAGGGGTCTGTTTGGTTGTCCTCCCATATGTGGCGGGAGGTGTAGTTGCCCTCGTGGGTCCACTACCATACCGCGGGAGGGAGGCAGAGGCAGACACAGTCACCGCACGAGGTGGGGCAGCCACACCCATGAGCCCATAACCATGCCCCATGCCCCTCTGTTCAACAAGCCACGTGTTGAACAGAGGGGGGGCCAGGCGTAATGTGTGGAGCGGTGATAGGATAACACTATACGCAGGGTTGTGTGTAGTGCTTTTCTGACCGCTTCAAGGGCTCCTTTGACACAGCCTGTGCTTCTGTGAACCAAGGGGGAATCCCTGGACGCACAGAAGGACCGTGCCAATGATTCCGTTATTATGCACAAGCTCACAGCCGGGGACTGCCAGGGGAACGTGCGTAATGTGAATAGCATCACACACTGCCCGGCAGATTTCTTCTTCAGAAAAATATCTGTATATGTGTATATGTTCTGTCCACACAAAGCTAAATGTCAACTGTCGTGGGCTCATACACAGTTTCTGTGCCGCTGGGGGATTCCCACTCATCCGATAGCAACAGGTCGAGGGCTTCGTCAAGAGAGTGGGTGGAACGCCATGCCACCTCATCCTCACCGGCAAAATGATACGCACGTCGCTGCTTCTCTTCGGGACAGAGAAGGTCGCAGAACGAGCAGCGTGAGCCAAGGGTGAGCGCACGGATGCCACACACCCGTACTGATGTAGCGTGGTCCCGCCCCTCTCGGGCCGACTTTGCTCTTCTTTTTCTGACAGGAAATCTTCTGCTCTTCAGACAGCTCAGTGCTGAAGAAAAATGGGAGCGAAGGCCAGGTCTCACCATTGTATATATACAAGGTGCGGACGTAAGAGAGGCCCATGCTTTGGGTGGGCGTAGACAACTTTGCGGAGGGGTAAACCTAATAGTGATAGCCTTAGAGGGCGAAGCCTATACGAAATAGAACAGAATGAATCTGTTACTGCATGACTGTTAAAAACGGGTCAGATGCGCTGTATAATTAGGCTACATTAATCGCCGTCTTCACGATTAGTTAATCTGTTCTTTCTTTCGCAATTTCGATTTAAAATGATTAATCGTTCAGCCCTATTTCTGTCATACTGTGTGACATCCCTTTCTTATCTTTGTCTTGATGGCCAATTTGTGCTTTTCAGATGGCTTTTAAGGAAAAGAAGAACAATTTAGCAGCATTTTCTTGAATCTCCAGAAATAGCACTCGGATCTTTTAAACCTGCCAACAGAAGGAGAATAATTGGACACTCACAACTCTTTGCAATCAAATAATACAAGTTCTAGGAAAATGTTATCCTAAGGGGAACTCAAAATATTTTCTCTTTGAACTAAGCAGAGGTACAGAGGAACAGTGCTAGGACACAGCTGATGTTTGTGTATTAAGACATGAGTAACTGGTGATGAATTCAGCAATTATCCTGAGAAGTATGTGAGCAAATATTCGATTAGTGTGATGTGTTTTACAGGGAATCGAAACTTAGGGGGTTTTTGCCAGCACTAAAGCACTTCATATGCTTCTGAAAAAAAATTATTTGACAGGGTTCAAGCCACCAAGGTACCCGCTTCCCACTTCCCAGCTGGCAATGCACTGGAGAGTTATCCCTGTCATTACAGGTGATAAGCCCACTTGGCTCCATGTTGCTTTTGTGAATAGTCCAAGTCTTTGAATGATTCTCATTCTAGCCCCTCACCTGAAACAATGTCCATGGGAAAAGTCTGTTTTTGACGGAAGCCATGTAAAGCTACATACTGCAGATCGAACCGGGCAGGAATTCAGACACAGAAACAGCCTGCTTGAGCATGGTAGAAGCACAAACATCAAGGACAAATTACCAAGTCAATAAAATCTGAGCAAGTCAGCAAAATCAGGCCAGCAAAACACTCTGCTTCTGAAATGCTCCCTGTGGGTATAAAACCCTACAGAGGACGGAACAAAACCGTGTCGCAGCCGGAACGCAACGCAGCCGTGCCCGGTGGAATCCAGCTGTTAGCCTTCTGCTACCACAGTCCTTACCCAGATCAACAGCTGAAAATAGACAGATAGATGGACCTAGATATAGAAAGTACACTGGGGTTGCACCTAACGATTCTTTTTTAACTGATTAATCTATATTTTTTTGATTAGTCGATTAATGTAACGACTAATTTATTGATTATTCAAAATTATTATTTTATTACTTGATTAATATAAGAATTCATAAATCCTAAATAAATACTAAAAACATATTTAATAATATTTCAATATTAGATTTTATCATCATCCTGAAAACGTGACACATAAAGCACATAATATTAATGTCTTATTTAAAAATGTGTCTAATTCCCTACTCACTTCTGTGTAATGATATTAATAAAAATGACTTGCAATAACCTTAGTTTAGTGCACTGTATAAACAGAACCTGGTTGTGCTGCAGAAAATCTGTCAACAGTAGACTGGTTTATTAAAGTTGAGTCTTGCTTTTCCAGTACTGTACACCTTTGAAGGCTTGGGAAAATATTATTATTTGTAGGTATAGCACATAAGTAAGCATCTTGTTGCCCAGTAGCATAGAAAGACCAATGCACTGTATCCGCAGGGGGGCGAATAGCGTGACTAAACAATGAATCAGAGATTACTCCGTCAGGTCCTGAGCATTCTGCTGCTTCGTGATGGAGGACTGTGCTACAAGCAAGTGAGCAGTGTTTCATCATCTAGCCAAATAAAATGGCTAATTGAATGAAAAGGCAGATATATTTAACCATTAACTTCCTCCTCTTTTTTTGAGGTGGCAGTGATTACGGGCTATACAAATAAACTGGAACTGACTTGACTAGATGTTTCTGCTACAAACCTGTCTGTCTTGCAAGTCCTTGTTAGAGCTCCAAAGTATCTTATTACTCTGTTTTTGAGCAGATTTTACAAACAGTTGGAATAATACTTGACTGCAAATTAAGTTGTGTGTTTGTTGATTAAGATTTTTATCCAGCAAGTACGCTTGTTTACTTTATCAGTATATCCAGACAACACAAATTGGTTGTCTCGCGCTTGAGCTTTGTCTTTTTTAATGCTCTTCTCCCATTTGCACACCCTACAGCCTTGCCTTTGAGTTTCTTAAGGAGAGCATAAAAACTGAATAACAAAACCAGGACAAGATGTTCTTTCCTGTCTCGGCAGAGAGGCTGTCAGCATTGTGATGTGGACTAGGTCATGGTCATTCTGTCCCATTACAGTCCCTGTCATTTGCTAATTAGGGAAACTGAACAAAGGAAGAGTTATGGATAGATGGATAAAAAGCGTAGGGACAGACACAGCACGACGCAGCACGATCAAGTGTCTGATTCACTTTAACATTTACCCAGAGAGGGGGGGGAATAGAGATCGGTAGTTCCATTGAGCTGAGTAGTTTCAGAATTATAATCTGCAATCAAGATGGAAATGCTAACAATGGTTAATATCAAAGCGACCAAAGTAAAAAAAAAAGAAATCTCTATCTATCTATAATCTAATATTAATGCGTGATGTATATTTAAACTGGTTATGGCTGGAGACAAACCAGAAAACACAGGTGTGCTCTGCTTGATAGGCGAAGAGTTCATGGTTTGTTTCCCTTCTGCTGAATATCAACGTCCACCCTTCTCTGTGGTCATTAGAGGCTGTCTGGTTGTCCCTGGCCCACCAGGTGTGTTGTGTCTGTTCAAGGCCATATACAGACTCTGGACAGCTTATTAAGGAAGCCAGCCATTGTCCTGATTCACCCTGTGTGTCAATAACAGGCGTCTCTCTCACCACTCCTTCACACACCTTTCCCTCTCTTTTTCCTGACCTTTTCCTACCTTCCCTTTGTCATTAGGCCCAGTAATTGGCCCTTCTCCTGCCTGAAAGCTGTCTCCCTCCACATTCTCCCCATTGTCTTTTTTTTTTTTTTTTGATGTCCTGACGTCTGTTGTTTTGCTTTGCGGGTGCTGCGTTACATTTCCTCGGGGAGCCTTATGTTACTTGTGGCTATAGTATGTAGTCTTATCTGACCAGACCCAGTTGTGAGATGGACTAACAACCTGACATGCCGGTGATCGGTGGCTGACCCGGCAGGATATATTTAGCGGTGAGCAAGTTGGGGAGAAAGGAAGGAGGAGATGGCTGAAACGGTGTGCCGAACAGATGCCACCTGCTCAGCTCCATGCAACTCAAGGTGGTTTGATGTTAAAATACTCCTACCAACAGTGCTGGTGCACTTTTTATTAGTAGCATCTGTCTAATACACATTAAAACTTATGCATTACATTACTACTTATAAACCAGCATAGGTGTACTGTTTAATAAATTATATACAAATACTGGACATTTTAAGTAAGTCACCGAAAATCACATCAAGTTTTCTATTTGTAATGATTTTGCAGTAATATCTTGATACACAATGATCTACACAGTCACAACTAAAATTGTTGTACATGTATTGCATACACACTCACATGCAACAATGTTATCACTATTATCAAAACTGGGAATGAAGAAATGCATCCTTGAAGCATTTTGTGGTTGCATAAACCTCATACCAACCATACCAAATTTCAAATGTAAACATTGCTGTTTCAGTCAGTATTTGCTCTGCCATGAGGTTTGTCTGAGCCTCGAGACTATTCCTAACACAGGTCAAGCGTCTGTGCTTCAGTGACTCCTTGTTTTTTGGATAAGGCAAGTAAGAGAGCATTGGTGGGAACAGGTTGCAGTTACCAAGAAACTGCATAGGCTGTGTGATGATGTTATTATGAGGATGTCACCATCTCCATCACCATAATCAATAGCTCAATAAGAGTCTCTTCATGTTGAAATCTACTTAAAATGTGTGTATGAGTCTAGCGCTAGTGTTGAGCATCGTCATACTCTGTATCTCAAATGAATGACCTTACTAATGTGATGTTTACTTAGGTTTGAAGTTGCTGCAGTAGGGGTAGGAAGGACGCTTTAAATAAAGTCTACTCTGGCCGTGTCACACCAACAGCCTGTCAGCAGGCTGCGAGTCCTCTGTCAGTGGTCCCACAGCTTTTCAGCCACAGCCTCGGGTGCTGGGTAACAAACATGAACACTGAAAAAAAGAAGAATGTTGGCACTCTGCTTTTGGGTTTGCCAAGTTAGCTCTCCTTTGAGTTTCTATTACGATCGTGGCTGATGACATCTCAACCAACAATTTGTCTTTGTCAAGTATCAGGTGTTTGACTGTGACCTTGAAATGATGAGCTAAATTATTTGTTGTCTGTTTGAAATACATGTATTAAATGTGTTTAAAATCATTGTTGGAACTTAGATGTGTTTGTAGAGTATATTGTGAAGTAAAAAAAAAATGCCTTGGGGCATTAAAAGACACTTCAGGTCACAGTGACGTGTGTAATAAAGCTGTAGGACTGACTGCCTATAAGGAGCCTGTGGAGACAGCAGAAATATTTTGAATTAAAATGAGATGGACACCTGACTTAGAGGTAGACACACTTGACTGGCAGTTGTGGTGTTGTAGTAGTAGTGGTACTGTTGTTGTTTGTGATAGTAATAGTTAAGTTAGTATCATATTGCTGGTGGAATAGTGTTCTCCTTGATTTTCTTATTAACCCTTTTGTTTTCATGACCTCTCAACTGATTTCCTTCCTGTTACCTGCAACCTGTAACCCAGTTCACCCATTGTGTTTGTCTCTCCCGTGCTGCCCTGAAAAGTCTTTGTCTGTTCTGTTGGATCTCCTATTCCAGTTCATTACCCAACCTCCCTTCACAATGACCCACGCGTCCTGCCAGAGCCTGTGGCCAGTCTGAGAGCCAGCCACTGCAGTCCAGTCTTTTACTTACTGGACAATGGTAAGAGGAGGAGGGATATCTCTCGGATCTCAGCCTCTTCGTGGACATGTGCTTGTGGTTTTTCACTGTATGGCAATAATGCAACATTGGGAGGGAGATGCGATAATTGGGGGTTTTTTTTGACAGGTGGTTGGTTCGATGTTGCGCCTTGCATGTTAACTCTGCTTCCACACTGTGAGCAACACTATCAGCAAAACACCAGAGGCGCATTCATACGTTAAACGCCAGAGGCACATTCATACGTTACAGAGCTACAAAAACTGGGATCTTCAGTAAATGCATTTAATTGAATTTGTCTTCTTTGAAAAAAGCAAATTTTTTTTTATAGTCGGTGAACATCAAGAGCAAGCCTTGTTTCCCCAAGGTTCATGAAGAAAAGATCTAATTGGTAGGTGCAAAATGGATGAGAAGTTGATCACAACCATTCAAACCTTCCCAGTTTCACTAAAATTTTAATTAGTAAAATTTGTATAAATTTCTTAAGAAAATTGGTGGGAGAGTTCATCCATTATCAGGGTTGATAGAAAATTTGAAACCAAGGAGCACTGGCTACCAACACGATATGAAATACAAACAATAAACAAAAAATAACAAAATACAATACTGAGACTTTAATATAAAACATATAATTTTTCATGAATAAAAGGTTTTATGTGCATTTCACCTCACAAATGCAATGGGACCCTCTCGCGTCACTATCGGTCACTACAGAATGACCCATCGACCAAGTTGCTTGCAGTGTAAACAAGCTGACAGGGACTGTGTTTCTAGGAGTAGACGCTGCTTTTTCAGTGTGTTCCATGCTTTTGTGTGGATGACTGCTGGTGTTGCATTATCTCTCTGCCCTAGCTGCAGGGGGTAGACATTGTGATGTTTGTTGTATGTGCCAGAGCTGGGCTTTGAACTTGGATCCTACATCATTCTGCAATGCTGCAAGGCAGGCGGGCTTGGGAAGAGGAAGTGGTTGTATTCTAGCTGGGTACTTCTTCTCCTCACTCGTCAGTGCCTCTAGTATCTCATTCTGTGTGCCGTTGATCATTGTGCCTCCACTGGAAACACATGTCTTTGTCTCTAAAAGGCAACGTGCTACTTTCAGGACTGTGGCGCTCGGACTCTCTTTCTCATTGTGTCGTTCTGACTGTGTTTCAATAAATCCACAATCTCACCTTGTTATCATCTTGGCTAACATTCATCACTGTCTCGTTTCTGACTAACTGCATGTGGCTCACTATGTGGCCAGCTGCGGTGCTGATAAATATGACTTCAGCTTGCTTTGTACTTTATCAGTGTTGTGGCCTGATCAAATCAAACTTTAGCCCCATTTGTGACCTCAGCATTCTGTACATTACGATGATTAGGTCACATTAAGTTCCTTATGCAAACCTTAGGGGAAAAGATTTTGTCTGTCAGTTGGTTGGTCGAGTGAAATATTTTGACACCTCTTGGATGGATTACTATAAACTTTGCTATAGGATGAACTTTGGTAACCTTTCATCACCACAATCAGATCAAAATATTAACTTGTCCAGTACTTACTTATTTATGACCATATACCAGCAAAAAGATTTAGCTTTGTGTTTAGTGCTAATCAGAAAATGTTAGCATGCTTAACAAGCTAAACTACAGTGAAACATCACCATGTTAGCATTGTCATTGGGATGAGCATGTTAGTATGCTGAAGTTAACATTTAGCTCTAAGCACCAGCTAACAGAGCAGCTAGCATGTACGCGGATTCTTAGTCTTGTTTACATCTTAATTTAGCCTGGAATGGTCAAATGTTTGCCCCTGAGGAAACCAAATTTAATATATCCACGGCCAGCTTAGATGAAGAGCACAGGGAAGCATATTCTGTATTCTGTGGAAATGTTGGATTTAAACTGTTTCAGCTCTGACAAACATTTCATCATTCCAGGCAGACAGTAGAAATCTGTGATATCACAAAACAATGTTCAAGGTGCAACACTCTGAATAACTGGTAAAAAAAGAATAAACCTTTTTGTGTTTGTGTGGATAACAGTATATGACCAAATCAGGGGGTAACATGTGGACTGCTGAGGTCACAAATGGGGCTAGTCTAACATAAACTGCTGTCATACAAGCTTTTTAATATTGTCACGTAAAAATATCAACAAGAAAATACCAGCTTGGGCTAAAAGTTGCTCCAGCCGTGAAAAGAAAGTACATTCATCATAGTATATACATAAATAATAAACATAAACTTATTACTATTGTCATATTTAGACACAAAATTGTGACGTTGCTCAGCCGACCACAGTTAGCATGAAGATTCAAAGAGTATGTAGTAAAAAGTGGGACCTTGCTGCAAAAACACAGTAATGAATGATAATGCATGCAGTGCCGCTGAGCTTTTAAACAGAGGATCATCAATGTGTAACAGGTTTATTACGGGACCATGTTCTCTGTCATTGTATCCCTAACACTGCACATTTTAAATGGTTGCAGCAGCATCTGGTCACTACAGTTTATTATGAAAAACACACACAGAGCTCATCTATAATCTCATTAGCGACACTAATCCGAAAGGCTTTACTTGTTCCTGGAAAAAATGGAAACAGAAATTCATTGATATGAGAAATTCAGTAAGAGCACAATGACATCCTAATATCCTCTGCAATAAAAGACATTTTACCTCAAAATGACCTTTGATACTGCCCTGCCTACATAGTCCTTCACAGCAAATGAACTTCAAAAATGGAATAAACTGTTATATTACAGTACAGTTGGACCCATATCCTCTGCTGTGGTCTTTTCTTTTGTGGTACTGTATGGCAGAGCTAGTTTTCAAAGGAATCGTCACTGATTCCCTTGACAAATTGTTCAAATCTAAAGTAAGGGGTCAGAATGAAGAATGGAAATTCATGGTCATGCTGTTTTCCTCGTGGTCATGAAATTTATCCAGCGTCATGTAAACACCATCCTGTGTCTTCCACAATCAATTAAATCATTCAACACAACGAAACAATTGCCTTCTTTTTGAGGGGGAAACTGACTCATAACATCTCAAGTTCGACCTTTGCAGTTCTCTATTTACTGCAAAATGCTTGCAAAATGTTTTAAGTTATTTTGTTGCCTCCAGTGTCTGTGATTTGTATTGACACCCTGTGGTGTCACCCCATTTATTTGTGCTTCCATGTCAGATATCCCAGGCCTTAGAAAATCTTACAAGCTGAATTTTATGACATTTGGCAGGGTTAATCAAATTTTAGAAATCTGCACAGAGGGGGACTCAAGTTCCACATCCAGAGTAAATTACATATGCTCTTCTTGCCTTGTTGCAGCCCAACAACACAATGACCATTAGTTGTTATAAATACAATGCTCAGAATGTGGATAAGCAGGGTTTTTTTTTACACTAGCCCAGTGTAGGTATTATTGATCTTGTAGAAATAGCTGGGAACACTGGCCTGGGACAACAATAGAGCATGCATTTTGAAATATGCCTGCGGTGTGCAACTGCACCAATTTGCATGTTCTAGTTCTTTGTTCATTTGAGTGATTTCCATTTTGTTTGGTTTGGGTTTTGTTTAGTTTTTTTGTTTTTCATTGTTTGACTTAGATTACACCAACTTTTATGATTTATTATTTTTTTATTCATTTTTTTTTATTTGAAGGGATTAACTGGTGCTTTGTTTCCTATTCTTTTGTTTCAGTAAAGGGACCCGGCAGAAAGTTAAGTCTGCCAACAGATCTTAAGACTGATCTTGGTACGGTAGGCGAAAGCCAGCAGTTTTCACTTGATTTCCTTTGAGTCATTTAGTTTATTCTTTTTTCATGTTCTCTAGGCTTTTATTTGCTTTAGTAGTTTTTATTCTTACTCAAACTTTCTTCTTTCAGTTTCAGTGTCACTCTCCACTCCTGTTAAACCAGCCCATGAGACTATCCCGCTCAAGTTTTTGTCCATTTTGCCCCTTAATGTATTTTGATTTGATTTAAATCTTCTGTGTTTGTTTCTTCTTCTACATTTTGCAAGTGTTTATAAAGGTGATTTGTAACTCATGCCCATATTTAAAGTTGAGGTTTTCTATCTCTTTATCATGATTGGACCATCTTCTGATTTTACAACCCTTCCTCCATTGACAGCCTTGCTCTACAGTGATTGGATCACTTGCTACTTCTCTCATTGTAACTGGATCATTTCTATCTTAAACAGTCTTCTCCATTTTGACTGGATCATCTGCATTACAGATACTGAGCCTTCCCCCCCATACATCTCTAACTGCTGTACATACACATCACAATCTCAGGTTTCCCTTTGCTCTGCTTCTGCAGTGTCATACACGCTGTCCTCTTTAAAAACTTCTGCTTCTTTAACACAAATGGTGCTGGTGCCTACTTATGTCTCTTGCCTCTTTTAATAACCTTTCTTTATCTGACAGGTATAAAAAAAATGCTTTGATTTTGTCAACCCTGTATTATTTTCAATTGAAAAATTAGTGAAAGTGAGAACATGAACCCAAATTTGAAAGTTCAACTGACAACAGTCTTAAACTGTCTCATCACACATGTAGTCTGATCAAAACTAATTAATCTTTTACCTTGTTCAAAGTTGAACAGTATGAACCTCTTAACAACTGTGAGTTATACCAAAAAAAGATTCTGTTTGTATGCGCGTGTGTGTGTTTATGTGTACGAGTACACTCTTGATGGTCAAGTGCAGTAATCCGTGCGGTGGGTTTGCGTGTGGTTACAGTGCCATTCTCTTTGCTATGTGCAAGTTTCCTGCAGAACATTTCGAGGCAAATGACTGATTTGCTGCATCTCTGGTTGAAATTCACAATATCAAACAAAATTAAGACGGATATACAGTGGTGTCGTCATAAGGTGCTGGTATTTGTTGGCTGCATTGCCTCGGCTCGTCCTGCTGTGAAACTGAGCGAGTGTTGCACGCGGACTGGGTGGCACCCCGGAGTTTTTCATCTTCACTTTGAAATTGAATAATTTGTGCATCAACTGGCTCAGCAGGATAAAGACACATGGTTAGTGCCAAATAATAAGAGGACAGGGACAAGGGGGCACTGTCCAGTGTTTTTACTAATTTGCACATTGCTAATCTTCCTCATGCTTCATCAGTCTCCACATAGGAGAATTTCAGAGAGAGAGGGGAAAGGGAAGACAAAAAAATAGAGACAGCCACATCGTTTTACTGCCACAGGGATGTCATTAAAGAAAAGGTCACTGTTTTATTTACTCGTCTCTCAAGACAAGTGAGAATGAGAGTACTCAGGTGTAGGTATCATGAAGCTGTTAATTACGGCTTGTCTTGGCAGCTTTTTTGTCTTGCCGAATAAACTGCTGGCAACAAAGAACCGCAGAGTGCAAGAAGTCCACACTCCTGCTTTGCTTTCCTTTGTCTCATTAATACAGTTTGGCTCTAAACAAATTATTTTACCCACACACACACAAGCATTGTACATGAAGAAAGGACAAAGCTTCCAACAAACTCAGTCCCTGGGGGGAGGCCATGTAAGGCTACAGTTCCAGAAAATAATAAGTGTTTCCTGTCACCACCATCTGTAGCTGATTATGGGGCCCAACAACTTTTGCATTATAATAAAAAAGGAGATATTAGATTTTTTTAAATATTATTTTCTTCACTTGTACCTTTTTGCCACAGCTAGGTCCTAAAAAGAAAGAATCTGTTTCTCCTGAAAACAAGGTTTTATAACAAAAAAACAAACAAAGTGGAGATGAAAGAAGCCTGTTTTTTCTTTTAATTTTCATATCTCTTTCCTGGCATAGACTGGATGAATCTGCACCCACATTTTGCCTCTGCATTTTGCTCTTTTTTTTCTCCAAGCACCTTTCACCTTTCTTTCTCCTCCCTGCTCATACTTACTTCAAACCACTCTCCAGCTCTTTGTCACTGACTTTCGCTTTCCCTTTCTCCCTCACTACCATCTTTCTTGTTGACAATCAGATTTTCCACATCGGCTTGCTCCTCCTGCACTGCAAAAATACCCATCTAAATAGCTCATGTAGTACAATACTGAGTATTAAGTCTGCACATTGCAACATTTTCAAATAGGGTGAGAAAAAGATAAAATTGCATAATAATTAAGTTGAATTTTCTCCCCTTATTTGAAGATTTCACCTTTGTCTTTATTAAACAAGATTCCCTTGCTCATTATTAGACTGAATGACTCATGAAGATGGATATTGCGGCAGTGGATTAGAATATGTTTGAAAGTTTTATTTCCATCTTTGTATTGTTTGTTAATGCTTTGCCGTTGTTACAGATCATGTCAATGGACATTGCACTAGCCCCACCTCCCAGCCCTGCTCAGCGGGGAAGCCTCGCGTCCCGATGGGTCCCGAGGGGCCACGGCTTACCCGCAGAGGCCCTGGCCGACCGCCCTTCCGCAAGGCCCAGTCCGCTGCTTGCATGGAGATCTCTTTGCCTGTGTCCCACACTGAAGGTGTGTGCTTGTCTTCCCAACTCCCTTCCCTAAACTTCTATAACATACCCTCCCTCCCAACAAGTGCATGCCATCCTCTCGCCCTGGGGTAAGTGGATTAAGGCCTGATACATAATTAACACAAGGCAAGCTTATGCTAATGCAAGTTAGCAGCACAAAAACCTAAATCATGCTTTGGTTGCAGTAGGTTTGGTTCAGTAAAAACATTTCATAATTGACTGTTCACTAAACCCTTCCCCCAAGCAGTGCCCACTCACAGCTTTTGATTTCTCTACATGTTGAAGCGGCATGTAAAGAGCTGTTGTAGGATCAATGCCTAGACTCTTAGGAGCTTGGAGGGTGGTGTCTTTTTTAGCCTTTCCAAAACAAAAAAAAAAACACAAGAGCAAAAGTGTAAGGAATTGATTAAACAGTGTGTGTGCTGCTCTAATGTAAGTTGCAAATGTTAGCGTGACCGCCTAGCTTGCTCACCCTCAGTAGTCAGCTACCCAGTGCATAATTAAGACCCCTTTTACAACATTCTTGTTTTAAAACGAGTCAACTGAAAACAGTAAATGTTAGCCAGAGGCAGCATTTTCAACCAACTAATGGAGCTAATCTTAGCTAATTAGCTAGCTAACTACAGCCGATAAAATCTGTCAGTGACGGCTGTCATTTGAGTCAGACCCATTGTTTCAGACATTACTAAGAATTTTGGGTGTTAAAACTGCCACCGTTATTGTAAACATGCATCTGTGCCATGCGAGAACAGAAAGCTTAGTAAATATGGGATGAAGGACGTAGTGAATGGTCAATTTTGTTAATAACCCCTAAAACATAACTTGAACATTTCAGAAGATGCGTTTCACACAAAGGTGACTGGTGATCAGCAAGCAGTTGCTGGCAGCTATTTACAAGATGAACATGGTGAGTAGTATAACCGTTGAATGTTCACACCAACAGCAAGTACTTGTTAATGTCTAGCTGTTTAGCTGTGTTTGCATTTAGGCACTTTAAACATATAACTCTGCAGCTTGCATTAGCATCACCTTACAACATCTGGACTAAAGGTTCTGCTTATCTTGAATGCAAGAAACAGCCCTTGCATTGTGTCCCTTAATATTGTTGCTTGTGTGGACCATGTCCCAGGCCTGAAGGTTGGTGCAATATTAAGTCTTTTAACAAAGTGTTTTTTACTTCTCCAGTGCATTTCTTTCTTGTTTTTTTTCCTGTGAATCAAAAAGGCCACCTGTTTAACTTTTAAAGCAGCACTGAAGTGTTAGTTTTCTGACTTTTTTTCTCATGTTTTTTTTCTCTTCTCAAAAATTGGTTCTGGGTGTTTTGTTTTTTGTAAATTAGCTAACAGAGCACACATGAGGTTTATGTAGTGTGGCCACACCTCCCAACTTTCTCATAATCCACAAGAGCCGAGGGAAGCATTTCATCTGTCTTTATTTAGTTAATGTTTTTGTGAGTGAGTATTGCAGTTACCAGAAAATGTTTTGTTTGTTTATTTAGTTTTTCAAATAGCCCTTCAGTATGCACACAAAGCAGATGAATAAGTAGTACAAGACGGTCGTACAAGCAATGATTTTCACTCTGGCATTTCGACATTTCATTGACAAATCTGACATTTATTTTCTTCCATTTGAACTCTTTTAATTCACACCTGACATTGACCTGCACCATCTAAAAATATATTGAACAAGTAGGCTGTGTGTGTGTGTGTATGTGTACATGCGCCTTTGTGTGAGATAGAAAGGGAATGTCGTATATAGTATGTTTCAGTGTCTATGTGTGTGCGATGCCAACAGGTGTTTCAGTGCTTTCATAGCTGCTGCTGTATTTCTATATTATTACCTGTAAATCTGAATTAAGCCTCTGAAGGCCTTGATAAAACATATTTTAACATTTAATACATTGGTCCATCCTTGACAATTTGATTACCATTTTTAAAGTAATATGGCTCATATTTTGGGTTGTTGTTATTGGTATGTTTTATACTTCTTACAGAAAATATACCAAGAGATGGTCAACATAAAAACAAAAAATCAGATAAAATAATGTGCTGTCAAGTGAGGGCTTAAAATGACACTCCCAGCAGTGTAATTTTGAAATATTGACTTCAGAACTGACACAGAAAAATGGCCGTCAGGATTGTACATCAACAAATGATTACACAATATGTCTGAAATTTTGCACTTAGTCTGTCACTGCCAGGCGACAGACATCAAGACGCCGGGGCATCTATTGACTTTGAATAAACAACAACCTCCTACTGCGTACCACTCCTTTCATCTTAACAGGACTGCTGACATTCTCTTGTCATATTCGACAAGTTATTTCTCTCTCTCTTGCACTCAGAACTACATATTTTCTTTAAGTGGAAAAGCTACAGCGAAATATCACTCGCCATGTTTGTGAGCTGAACTTAGCTGCATTTTAAGTCTTTACAATGACTGGTATTGTTGGATGGAGAATTTTTGGGTGTGGAGGAAATAAATGTGGGGATTGGAGACAATGGCCAAAGAGACTGCAGGTTTAGGAAGTGGATTATCCATAGAGTCATGTGTATGTAAACTAACATGTGCTTCAGTCAAAGTCTTCATGATCATGAAATTATAGGCTCCACTTTCCACAACACAATGTTGCTGATTTATAAACCTGGTGCCACACCATATGTAAACTCTCATCCCTGGGAAACTCTGGTTGTGCAGGTCACGCACCCACTCTCCAGTCTGTATTTGCTTATAGTCAGGACGTTGTCAGATAAAAGGGAAGTCTCCGTCAGGTCACTACAGGCTAATCTCTCCATGGGACACCCAACACTGTGACAGTTCCCCAAAATGTCACAGTTACTTGCATGTACATCATATAAAAAGTACCACACAGTGGATGCAAATCTTGGCAGTTGAAAATAGGAGCATGTTCCTAAATCACATTCTCCTCATATCTGTGCTGTAAAGTTACAAAGATTTTTATATTTGGGGGGAGGGTTTTAACACAACATGCTGATGCAAAGTATTTATGCTAAATAATAAACAGGGTAGGTGCAGTGACAGTTGACCCTTTTACGCCAATTCTGCAGTTAGATTCACGCTGCCATCTTCATCGACCTCTATTATACAACAGTGACCTGGAGCAGTTTTTCATTAGCATAAGCTGAATGTTTTATTAAAGCCACCGCCTGGGCTACAGCTGCATTATCAGCCAAACTGATGCAGGTGATGGTGGAATCACAGTTGATTTAATGCATCTATAACCTCTGAAACTATCCAGAAGAAACAGACTTCTTGAATATTTTAGCATGACACTTTGAATTACGATTTAACACGGTAGCAGTTTGATATTTAAAGTAACCAAAAGGGAAAATCTATCACACAGGTAGACAGAGATTGATGTACCTGCTAGGCCTTCAGACTTACATGCTGATTGAGTCCTACTGATTGTTTGGGGACCATTAATATCGTCATGGGACCTAGTTACACCAGGTTGTGACAACCTAGATGTCAAATGATTACTAAACCCACAATTTATTCAAAAAGTCAGAATTCAACAGTGAAGACCTTATTTTTATTTGTTAAGAAACAGTGAACTGCAGTGTTTCACTTACAGTACTGTATGCATATCAAAGCTGATATTCTCTGTTGTCCTTAGTTGTTTTGCTGTCTATATAGACCCAATGCAGGAAGTCTATGGTATTTCATTTTACCCTACAAAATCCTCCTGTGTTTCAAAGTTCACAGTTTAACAGATGTGTCTATTCACTCATTTGGATGTCGCTGGGTAAGTCTTTTTTGATCTGGACACAATGTCATCTGACCAAAATGTCAGGTTGGCGCTCATAAAATTACATTATCTGATAGGCCATTTGCTTTGAAGTTGTCTTAGCATGCACCCAACACTTCCGTACTGTGGGGTGTAATGAAGATTGTACCACGTAGATTTGACTGTGAACAGAGCAACATATTTATTGCTGATAAATCTGTCCGTGTTTACGATTCTTTGGCACATTTTTAGTGGATCAATCAGTCCACATGTCCTTCATGAGACTGCGGCACCAGTTGAAGCTGCATCTGCTTATTAATGGTAACATTGCATTCTGATATGGAAAATGAGGAGGTAACTGTTGGATTTCATTTTGTTGCTGTTTTGATTGAATCACTGGATGCGTGAACAGTCCATTTACCCAGCAGACCGTTGCATATTCTCTATCTGTTGCCTACCTTTGGCACTGTTGTTTATCAGTTGCACTGGGTTACCACAGTGAAGAGCCAGCAGGATCACTGGAATAATTAAAGGTCAGCAAGCGGTGCGAGAGATGAGGCCGATGTTAATGAGGCCTGCATGCCAGGCGAGGAGACAGAAGGGAAATGGCAGGGGAAGCCAGACTCACTGTACAGTAAACATTTCCATACCTGCCATCTTGGTTAGGTCGTACAACTATTAGATATTGAGGACAGAATTGTATGATATCATTAAATTTGCCTGCGGACGTGGTCATTAAATTGGCATTGGTTATTTAAGAACAGGAAATTCCATAAGATGGAGTGTGTGTATGTTTTTATCAGTTGATTTGTTTGTTAGTATACAAAGATGAGTTGTTGTTTTCCCCACAGTGTGACCTTACTGGACATTTTCAATTAAGTATGAACCACATATTACAAATCCCATAATATCACAAATTTCACAAGTAAAAGAGGCAGTAATAGAATATATTTTACTGCACCATAGCACAGAGGTGAGGTGACTCACTGACTACCTGGCCAGATGCTTAAGAGGCTTCAAAAGACACTCAAGTCCACACCCACACACACACCTACGTCCCTGTTTGACTGCAAGATAAAAACCAAATGCCGAAACAGAGGTCCTGCCATTTAATAGCTTTGTGATAAAAGATTCCCTGATGAATCCCTGCAACAATTAACAAACTTAACTGGTAAAAAGTTACATTTTGAGGCCAAAGATCACTTATTTTTCCAATTAAGCACACAATTAAATCCTGGAAAACCTGTTAAATACATCTATTTATATGTGTTAATTGGCATCATACTGTCATTGTACACATTGGTGGTACATAGAAGTGAAAAAAGGAGTTCAGCGTACTCTCCAGGTGTCTGTCCTTGTCTCTCTGAACTGTGTGTGGGTGTATGCGCTTGTACCACTGTATAAATCTGGCACTTTGTCTGTCTCAACGCTTCAGATTGTCTGCCTTCCCTTATCACCTGCCTCGCCTGCCTCCAGCTCCCTGTGAGGGCCCCCCAGGAGTCCCTGTGTCCTGTCAAAGTACCACTGTGCCTGACTTTCATTAGCCAGTACCCCACAGGCCCTGTCACACAGCGTAAACACGCCCCAGCGACGCACAGCAAAAACCAAGCTGCTGCTACCCAGACTCACAGCAACAGGCTATTTTGTCTTTGTGGCTGTCAGCGGTATCGTACAGCAGTGTTGTCACGATACCAGAATGGTGACAAAAAAACAAACCCAAATATATCGATACTGCTCTGATAGTGTAAAACAACTTTCCATTCTTGTAGCTTTGTAGCACCTTTTTTTGGAGGAGTTTTCCTGTTAGTTTCATATTTAATTGCTTCTGGATTTGACTGCTTGCGCCAGTTTTGGACCTGCAGCAGTATCACAGACAGCAGGATCAAAATATTGGCTGTCGAGCAACAGTGCTGTACAGTAGTATCTCTTCTCTGAGCACATCGGACTGTATGTAGGGATGCTGTATTAAAGTTACTAACATTAGAAGCGTATAAACTTGCACCTCTTGTGCCAACAGTGTTAAGTTGAGCACGTGCAAACCCTGAAACAGGGTTTAGAGAGGAGATGGATAAGCGAGTAGAGGTTGTGTGGCCACCAGAAACATAGACGAGCAGCCTATGTTTCAGACGCATTCTCTTTCTCTGTATATATTTGAAGCAATCTCTCCACACTCAGTTGCATCTTTCTCTCTTTCCCTTTCTGTCATTCTCTGGTTCTGCTGTTCATCTGTCCGTCTCGTCTGGGTTATTTATATATTTTTTTCTGGCTGTGTTGCTGCACTTTTTGTGTGTGTGTGTGTTTCTTTGGGGTGTGGTGGGTGTGGTTTGTTATATGGGGTTCATGTTGTGGGGAATGAGTAGGTTATGCATCCAGGAGGGCAATGCTTCAGCAGTTACATGGAGTCACTATGTACTCCCACGACGAGCACCACACCACCGCCCCCTACTGCTGGAATGAGAGAGGTAAGGGGGCTTCGGCCACAAAGCTGCTGTCCTGCTGATTATTATACATCCGTCCCTCCGTCCGTCCGTCAGTCAGTATGTCAGTCCGTCCTGTGGCCCTGTTTCGTCTAAAACATGCCTAGAAGTGCTTGCTCTTGTCCCAAGGTGTAGGGAGTCGGGTGATGCAATCTTTACAGCAGTGCATAGTTTTGGCATACAGCAAACTGTAACATCCCGCAAACCACCCATAAATAGTGGATGTATTTTCTTAGGTCTGTTTGAATTTTGGTTCTCATAGTGCCTTGAAATGTTACTGAAAATTGCATTCATTGAACATCTGTCAGAATTTTCTTAATTTTAGCCTGACACGTGTACGCTGGGCTTTGCACCCATCTGTAGTTTGTTGTTACATAAAGTCTGCACTCTGTGTACCACTGGGCCGGGAATGCAGTACTGCACATTGCCGGGCTCTGAATAATTCAGAAATGCAGCAATACAGAAATACATTTATGATGGAGGATTTAAGTACACAATGGAGGACCTGAATGGGTAACACTCAAACGGAGTCAAAGGAGGGTTTGAGTTTGAGAACTGCCGGAGCGTATGTGAGTGTCTGTCTGTAAATGCAGTGTTTCTGGCCACTACATAAAAACCAGTGCACTCTCAATAAATAAAGACAGAAGTGTGTGTGTGTGTGTGTGTGTGTGTGTACAGGGTTTGGTGTGAGACTATGTTTCTGTCCAGTCGTCCCTCTGTAATGATTGATCACATTGTATCACATATTTGTTCCAGAGTTTTACATTGCATACAATCTGCAGACAAAGCATATATGACTTTTAGAATATTTGTCCTCTGCGTTCCTTATCACTCTCCTCCTTACTATGTATTTTTTTTTCTTTTTAACATTTTGATCCTCTCATACCACCATTCTTTCTCCTTTGTCCTACACATTGCTGCTCCCTTCCACAACATCTCCAACTCTACCTTTCTCTTTCCTGTTTTCTCTCTCGCTCCCCTTTCTCTGGCCATTGCTTCACGTCTCTCTCCTCTTGCATCATCTCTGCCTGTGCCGCGCTCCTGTGTTTGGCGGCTACTGCCACAGAGAGTCGTGAAAACTCCTTCAGCCGTTCTCGCAGTTCAAGTGTGTCCAGCATCGACCGGGACACCAAAGAGGCTATCACCACACTGCAGCTTGGAGAGTCCTTCGGGCGCAAGGGTGACGCCCTGCCCACCCCATGTCTGTGGGTGGGCACCAGCTTAGGCGTGGTCCTGCTCATCCCAATGTCCATTCCCACCGACCAGGAGGAGAGGATGGAGGAACCTGTGACCATTGGCCCCAGTGGTAGGTCCCAAATAGACTGGGATTCATCTCAAAGGCATCTTTACCATAGTTGTGTGCACAATTTCCTGCATCTTCAGTGCTTTTACCACCAAACAGTGTTTTTAGTAATCTTGCTAAACTGTTGGCTTATATACAACCTGTTTTCTGACTTGAGTTGTGGCAATGTTGTGACGGTGTGTACAATATTGTCATAACAGATAAAAATAATAGCTAAACCTCTAAAGATAAGACAGTTAAATTTTAATAGATCAGAAGTGTTTTAATAGAAAATACACTATACACAACAAAATCCCAATAATGAATCTATTAATCTATAAAAATCCAAACTGCCTTTCAAAGAAGGAAGGCATTAAGAAAAGAAAATTTTATCTAAATATGTTATCAATTTCATAATTATTTTAATCCCACCATCATTTTGAGACTATTCACTCACCACTACAAGCAAGCTATTAACTGATTCAACGATATTGCATTTTCAATTCAGACTACGTCCTTTTTATTGAAATTTTCTTCTCACCTGTGGCTTTGAAGCTGTGATAATGGGTTTTATGCTCCACATGACAGACAAAAAGCCAAATTTTTAACTGTGATTTGTGGAAATAGAATGAAAGGATCATGCTTTGTCCTCCATTACCCTGTTTTTAACCATTTGTTATGAAACTTGCACAGTGGGACACAGTGGGATTTGGGATATAATGGAGCCTTTCTAAACTACTGGCCCAACTGAAAATGGGGCTCAGTTTGAGTAGCACAAAGCGTCCATACTATATTCATTTGTCCCATCTTTAAGCATTTTGCACATGAAAAAGGTTCAATCAACTACAGTAGGTTCAAACCAAAAGGCTAGGACTTGCCATAAGGGACCGAGTCAATGTGACTGATGTTGTGGACCTTAAACCTGCTTTAATTGAATGTTTTGTTATTGTAAACACAAATTTCATATATTGTTATGAAGCTAATATGGCTTTTTAGCAAACAGTTGCTCATTTGGAGTTATGTCTAACTACCTGATGATTGCAGATTAAGACAGTATCTGTCTGATTTTGGATTCAACTCCTGAGGGAAATATGGCTCTTTAGCTGCTAAATGCTCCATTATGTGGCTGTTCAGTGCTGGGCAGGTAATGTACAGTGGGTGTGTTTGAGCTTTTGGGCTGAAAACAGCTGCCTGCTGAATCTGGAGTACACTTTTGAAATCCTTTCATTTTCCATATTATTGTGAAATTTCACAAATAATGATATAGGCTACACACACTCAGAACAGTCATTTAAGTGCAGAAACATTAGCTTTCATCTCAATTCCACTTGTATGTTTGACACAAAACACCCACTCAGACATATGAGAAAATGCGATGTTGATGCAATACGAGGCTTTTAGAGTAAGAGCTGGTAAATTACCTGAGGAATTAAGTGCACTGTGTGTGAGCAGCATTTGAAAACTCAACTCTCCCCTGGTCTTACTCATACTTAAGGGCTTTTAAAAACACATTTGTTTCAGTTAGAAATTGAGTTATAAATCTGTTGTCATGCAGAACTTCGACAGGCGTTTGTCATACACAATCTTGCATTGACACTCACCATCTGCACTCAAGGGTTCACTCAACAGGGTTAGATTTTGCGGCCCCATTGTGTTTGCACTCTGACTAAACAAAAACAAGCCACTCAGACATGTATTACCGGTCCAGGAACCCTGCTGCGTGATGAAAAAAGGTCTCAGAGCAAAAACATCAATAGACCCAAAACTCCAGGCCCTTTGAAGCAGCAGTTGTTCTCTTGAGACTGAACGTACAAGAAGCAGGCTTATTACTGGAAGGTCATAGAATCAGTTCCAAGGAGAAGGAAAATGCATTGTTGAACTCTCCCTGTGTGTTTTCAAAGTGCTTCTGTGGATTGTAGAGAGTATCTGATGCACTAAATGTTGTATTTGTAAAAAACAACATCAATAAATGTGTAAATAATGAATTGCTTAGGAGCCAACAGTAAATACCAGCTAAGTCTAAGTTCCTAAAGGTGACTATGCTATTGTTTGCATGCAGCATCTTCCTGGCTTATGGGAATGTGCCGTAGCTTTTGGAATCTTTAGTTTCAGACTTCATGCCTTCCCTCTTCCCTCTGTTATCACTTCCAGGAACAGTCATGATGCTGAAGGGCTCGGTTTTGCGCTTTGCCTTCTTGGACTGCATGGGAGCGCTCATTCAGAGCCCCTATGAGGTCTGGCGTGATCCCAACGCCCCCGAGGACCCCGACCGACCGAGAAGGCGCAAGCTAGTCAACTTTTCACCATCCTCCTCCCAGGACACTTGCGGAGAGGGACATCTGGCTGTGGTGTGCTCCGAGAGGCAGGCCAAAGTATTCTTGATGCCCTCGCAGTCTTGCCTCTTTGTCCACAACATCACCGAGTCATCCTTTGTGCTGCGAGCCGATGTGGTATCTGTGTGTAACAGCGTGTGCCTGGCCTGCTTCTGTGCTAACGGACACGTCATGACGCTCAGGTATAACTGCAGGCTCTCGTCTATTTACAAAAAATGTGACAAGCTGAAAGTTTTGTACATCTGCATTATGAGATTGAGTTTGTGTCTGTGCACAGAATTAAACGGGAACTCTGATGTTTTTACCTGACAGAAATATCCTGTATTCTCAATTTGATGTAATTTTTCCTGCGGCAAAAATATTGGCTTAGACCACACAATTAATCCTATAATAATTGACTTTGGCCTTGACAATTAATTAGACTTAGTTGAGTGCAAAATGAATGCTTTGCATTTAGAGTGCCTGCGCTGATGCATTAAATAAAGTGCTTCCTTTTCACAGGTAAACTATGAATAGTGTGATTAAATTATTAGTATTTAATATGAACACACTGTAACTAACTGGTCTCTGTTTCTCAAATACTCCTCTAGCTACAGGCGAGAATGTTTTCAGTGTAGAAAAGATCATGTCATGTATCTACATTGTCTACATAGGAATGACTCTTTTCTGGTTGTTTGGATGTTTTATTTCTATCGCTTACCTCTAAGAATATTTACATTTGAAGGGAGACGTATTTATTGTTGTAATAGGTAAATTATAAAATTAAACCAGTTTACTATGTCACACAGAAGAAACAATGTTATTACAAAAGAAATTGTGATAAACAATAAATTCATCATGATTATTATCTAATCACATTGCCCAAATTTGACTCCCATTTGTGGTGTGGTTTAATTTGCATGGTACAATTTGTATTAACGTCTTTTATTCTTCTCGCTCTGCCCACAGTTTGCCCAGTCTGAGACCGCTGATAGATGTCAATTACCTGCCTCTGACAGACATGCGCATTGCAAGAACCTTTTGCTTCACCAACGGGGGACAGGCCCTATATCTCAGCTCCCCGACAGAGATCCAAAGAATTACGTACAGCCAGGAGATGTGTGACAACCTGCAGGTCAGCGCTGCAGTTTGTGTGTGCATGCTGTTTATCTGTCCATCCAGCCTAAACACTGTATATCAGTCCGTTTATTTGTCTCTCTGACATGTCGCAGCATTTTGCTGTTTGGTTTTCTGAAAGCTACTGATGCATGCACATAGAGACGGTTCTAATTTTGCTTGACTGACAATTTGCGTCTCACATCGAGTTCAGAAAAGTATTGGTGCAGTAAATAAGCAGGTGCCATTATTCCCACCGAGAGCTGACAGAGGCCATTGAAGTGAAATGTCACTGATGTCAAGTGTGGTTTGAATTCCACGGGGCCCACTGTGTTGAGATGGTTTTACTGAGTGTGTGGTTGTGTAGACATGGGCATATTCATATTCATAGATGTGTTTATTCTTAAGTGCCATCACTGCACCCTCACTAACGATAACAGATGACAGCGGAGCTTGTGACATGATGCTGCCATAGTGCCACCTACAGGCAACAATAGGTACTCCCCTGTCATTGAGGAGAAGTTGTCCCTGTATGTGGACAAAGACCAACATTATTATACAATTATATGAATTGACACTATGGCAGTTTTCACAAAGGTGATAAAGGGAGGAGAGCACTGCCACTTTGACCCCACCCTCAGGGATGACAAATGTGTGATCAACAAATAGCGGCAGTACATCTCCAGTGCAGAATTGGAATGAATTGTTTTAGGAAAATACTTTATTGATTGCTAGGATCTTTTTGCTTTTTCATTGTCATTCATTTCAGGAGATGCTTGGAGAGCTGTTTACACCAATAGAAACACCAGAAGCCCAGAACAGAGGCTTTCTAAAGGGCTTCTTTGGAGGCAATACCCATACCTTTGACAGAGAGGAGCTCTGTGCGTGATTTCTCTTTTCTCTCTTTTTTTCTATACTAAGAGTTTCATTCTAGTGTGTACTAGTCCACTTAAAATGTCACATGTAATCGCATATCAAAATCTAGCAGGCACTGTACAACTAGTGAATGGCTAACAATGCATCAAATGTGCTTTTTTTTCTCCGCCTCCCGTCATTTTCTCGTTCCTTTTTACCTGACGGCGTCGACAGTTGGTGAGGCAGCAGCTGGGAAGGCTTCTCGGAGTCTGGCCCAGCACATCCCTGGGCAGGTGGGGGTGGAGGGAATGAAGGTGGCGGCTAGTGGAGTGGTGGGTGATCTGGCGAGGGCCCGCATTGCTCTGGATGAGAGAGGCCAAAGGCTGGGGGAGCTTGAGGACCGAACCGCCATGATGATGACCAGTGCAGAAACCTTCTCCAAACACGCTCATGAGGTAAAAACCAGATCATTAGAAGTTCCAAATTTATCAATGTAATTCATTCTTTCATAATTTAAGTTGAAATGTGTTTATGAAAACTGTTAATTAAAGGGTAAACTCAAACTGAAAAGAATGCATGAAATATTTTGTAGTTAGCTTTGGAACTATTACAGAATTCATGTAAGAATAAATAAACATTTGTTTGTTTTAAGTTACATTATAGCTGTTATAAATAAAAGAACCCTGTAATGATAATAGCAAAAAGAATAAAGAAAAAGATCCATTGTTCTCATCCTGTTGCCTAATATTTTTATAACGACACACAGAAATGTTAGTAATCACATAATTGTTCTGACACTTCCCATCCGTAAAGTAGACCTCGTGGGGCTAATTCTGCACCATGATGTTATTTATTTACCCCAGCAATACCAAACTGGTGTTTAAAAGTGCTACATACAACAGCTTCAGAGCTTTAAAAAAATGTGCTGTTATTCTAAAGAAATCTGCTCCATACAGGAAATGAAGCGATGACGAACGTGTTATTCCTCACCATCAATGGTATGTGACTTTTTCTTTTCACAGCTGATGCTGAAGTGCAAGGACAAGAAGTGGTACCAGTTCTAAGAGCAGGACAGAGGACTGCAGGGAACTTTATGCCGGGACAGGGACTTTCACTCTACAAATGAGAGCAATGAAATGAGAGACTCAGAAGTGACTTTGTCTTTACGGCTTCCGGAGTGGCTATTTGTATGACGCTGTCACATTGTTGAAGGACGACAATGGGCTAGCTCCCTGTCTAGACATGTAGTGATAAGGACAGAAAGAGAATGGCGGCATTTGAAGGACTGAAGATGAATCTGGAAATATCCGACGTGTGTGTGTGTGTGTGTGTGTGTGTGTAGGTGTGTGTGTGAGTGTGTGTAGTTGGGTTTCCTGGACCTCACTGTGTAGATACTTAAAAGTTAACTAAACAACAAGAAATGCATGAAACAAAAATGGATGACTATTAAAAATATCCAACTGCCATATTAAAAAGCAGCATGCTACTTTAACAAGAGATACAAAAATAAACCGTTTTATTTAATGATGTAAGCCAACAACAGAAACTATGAAAAACTTTATATTTTTTGAAATATTGACAAAAAAAGTATATATAAAAAGGGAAATGTATACCTGCATTGCTATTAAGCCAAAACTTGTGTTCCTTTCCCTTTTTTCATTTTTTATTTTTGGTTCATTTGAAAATGTTTTCTTAGTCTCAGCATATATTACTTGCCACAATATAGATGCACATAGTTAACTTTCTCTACACACACACTTAGAATAATGCTAAAACTATGTTCTTGCCAATTACCCTGGGCTGCACAGTGCAAACACAAATCAGTAGTATTTACATGTACCTCTGCACAGTCTAATCACACTAATTATATTTCACGTTTCGGCTGCTGCTACTTACAAAAGCATTAAATGATAATCTCCCTCCCCGACTACAGTTGTATGGAAACAGAACAGATTGGTGTGAGAAGAATGCAAAGGCTGAGAGAGTTAAAAGTGTACTGTGGACACAGTGTGTTTCTAGCTATAGTATGAACCTATATACTATTCATGTGCCATAAAAACAAGATGAGTGAATCCACTCACAGTAAACTAACTAACAAAGAGCTAATATGTGGTAGTCATCATATGTTTCCTGTTGATCGGAACAGATGAGACATACTTGGAGTTGACCATGAGGGCATATATCAAAGTCAAAAAAGTCTGTTTTCTTTATATAAAAAAAAATATGAGGGGGGTTTTATTTATTTATTTTTGGTTGTTGCTGGTTCACCATTGGAGTCTTTAGCTGCCTTTGTCAGACGTGTGAGTTTCGTGAGCCATTAGGTTGTGTGTGTGTGTGTGTGTGTGAGTGTGAGTGAGTGAGAGAGAGAAAGACTCTTTCTCTGCCAAAGCAATCGAAAATGAATGACACCCTCCCATCTCTCTCTTTCTCTCTCTCTCTCCGCCTCAGCCTTTGGTTTATGCGTTTTCAGCGTTAAACCCGAGGGGTCCTCTTTTCACGAGCACCACTTTAAAATGGTCGTCACCGTCTTTGTGGCCGGAGTACGAAGCGGAGTTGGAATCGTTTCCATTCAGTTGCGACCAACTCCCCCCTCCCTGTGAGTGGTTTATCAGTAAAAGGTTCAGGAAAAGTAACAGTATTTTTTTTGTCAGTGATGTTTCAGATGTGAGTCAGTGAAGAAACTATGTACATGTGTAAAACATTTGCAACGATTTCAACTGAAGGCAAATTGTTCCTCTTTTTCGTGCAATATTGTTCTTGATGACTATGATATCCTCTCGTCGCAGTCCTATATTTGATGGTGATGGCCTCTCAAATGAAGGCTCTTGTATGTTAAAAACAACAAATGTTTCATGATACATGGTTGGTGTATCATATTGTGATTGTGTTGTACATGTCCAATGGGTAGCCACACGACACGGGGCAAACAGCATTAACTGAGGAGGATGTTTTGTACTTGTGTATTTGTCTGTATTTTGAATTGATCTGAAAAACCAAACAGAGGGTTGTTGATATCCATCCCACACATCAGGCCTTTATGCAGACGAGCATTAACACTTAGATCATGATCACTCCCACATAAAATATGCACAACAACACATACAAACCTAAAAAAAAAGCAGACACAGGTGAGTCTATCTGCATTGCTAGTCATTTCTCCCTGCTACCTGTCAGGCTGCTGAGGCTTTCCTCAGGCTTAAACAGCCTTCAAAACCCATTTGTTTTCACCAAACTCAAGTCACCTGAAATCCTAAAGCAGTGCCTCGTGGGTTTCAGGAATTACACATGATTTGGTTCCATGATGTGTCTTAAACATATCCAAAAAAAGAATCAATTTCTCTCCTAGCTCTGTACCGTCAATGAGATTTGTGTTGAGTGCAGTTCTTTCAATGACAGAGAAAACACACAAAAAAAACAAAAAACAAAACCAGAAGAAAATTAACAACAACAAAAAAAAAAGTACATCTGACTTCTACTGACAGGGTGTTTTGTTAGTATGTTTTTGGTTTTTATATTAACTGTACAGTTCAATCTTGGGAGAAAGGTAACAAAAAACACAAAAAAGATGAAGACATTCTTGGGATATTTTTCTCTGTATATGTTGTACCTGTTACTGCTGGTACTGTATCTGGTATTCTGGCTCTGTCTAAATCACTGGAACTCTGTAGTTCTTCACACTGTAGTATCCTGAACAAGCATTTCTCTGGTTTTCTCAATGATGGCAGCAAAGTTTGTCTTATTTAAATGGATTCTACCACTTTTTGTTCTTATTGATATTATACTAGTGTAATAGAAATTACTTGACAAAAAAGAACTGAAAATATGTTGATGCAAAAGCAAACTGAAATAAACATTGATTGATGTACACAGTTGAGAGAGCTCTGTTTCACTGACCTTTTAACCTTGTGTGAAGTACAAGGTGGTGTTTCCTGCTGAATGACGGGGGATGATTCGGGCATCTCCACATCTGTGATTTTCAGTTCGTCCCATAAATTGTGAAGCAGGCCTGAAAGTGCAGCATGGTTTTATTTGTATTACGATAAATGTTAATGTTACCCTTTTATGTGCAACGGCCCTGGTTTATCCCTGTTAGTCATTGAAATAGTCAGCCAGGTTCAGGAGACTGATGAAGACTTACACAGCATGGTTTACTGAGCGCTTCCTAGACCTACAGATTAACTAAGTGTCCAAATAAGGTTATTGTTCAGCCCTCTATTCATGTGTGAAGATTCTATTGCATATTGGTTTAAATCAAGACACTATGCTTACTTAAGTTAACCCAAAGTTAACATACAAAGAGCCAGTCAGTCTGTATGTAATGAAACAAAATAAAGACAATCTCAACCTTGGGTTACCTAACAAATGGATAACAGTGCGTCATTATCCTGGCAGCTGCGTCAGTCAGTCGACCAAACAGACAGACAGAGTCTGGTCTAGTGTTTTGGAGTCACAGGCTGTCTGTAGTTGGCTTACTTTAGCTCAGCAATTCACCCTCTCATTACCTGTGTTATAGTACCACTAAAATCCTTTCACACCTGTGAGAAGCGTACAGTCGGAAAAATTCATGATAATAACATTTTCTTGTATTTCATATATCATATAACTATTCTACAAGTCTCAAAGATTATTTTGCATCCACCCAGATGGTTAGAGAGCCACCTGCTGGATGAGTGTCTTCTAACAGGAGAAACTGCTGTTTGTAATTATATTACATTACAGTAAATTCCTCCATACTCATCATCAATCATGATACAAGTAATGGAAATGTAACTACGTACATCTACACAAGGGCTTAAGGACAAATGTGAGGTGTTTTTTATATGCAGTCTATGGATATTTCACATGAGTATTTCAATTTAATGCCACATTATACTTCTACTTCAATATAATGTATTTGTTCCTTCGCTTATTTGACAGCTATAGTTCATAGTTATACAAGATTTCAAAACAGAAGTACAAAACATGGTAAGCTAAATATAACGACAGAAAAGTAGCTCCACAACAAACTACAACAGTAAAATACTAACATATGCATCAGCAATATAAATATTATATAAAATGTAATACTATAACTGTAAATGGGATTATTTTTCTGGTGTTCACCAGATTAATGTACGTAATATTTAGGCAACATTTTCAATGCATGAAAAGCACTCGTAATAAGAGTATTTTACATGGTGGTATTGCTACTTATGAAAAGGATTAATGAATACTTCTACCACTACATTGTGAGACAGTAAGACCGGGATGGTTATGGATTCTGTGCATTATTTTATTAGCTAATCTCTCCATACATTTCCATGCTTCCAATAATTTATCACAGAAAAATAAATGCCGCTAAACAAACCTAAAAAATAAGCCACATTTACTCAGCATCATGCCCACCTTGTACCTCGAGGCTGGAACTTCCTGGTTTCTGTACAATCACATTCAGATCAGATTGCTCATCCAGCCAATCAAAGCAGAGTCGGTGGACAGCGACCAATCACAGGGCTACATTGCAATAGCACATCCCGCCCCCTGCCTGCTCATTCAGCAGATAGTTACAGTAAAGTGTACAAGGATTTTGGAAATAGCCAACAGTAACCTGACTGAAGCCATGTTAAAATAACAACATTATGCGCCTATATTAGCCAGATATAAGCAGTTAGCAATGCCACCGCTGAACCGTGCAGTTCCAGATGGAAACGGAGCGAGCTAACGTTAAAACGTTAACGTTACAGACTTCTAACGTTAACTTACGCCTTCTCCTAATGTTTGGACATTTTTAAACCGACAATGGCAAGTTTGGGCACTGACCCTCTCTAGGGAGAAAGGTAAGGGCTAACGTTTGAGGCCAGTCAACGCTGGACAGCCATGTCTTCTGGACTAGTTTCACGGTTGCTGCTGCTGCTCTGCTGTCTGGGTCTGTTCAGACGTGAACTCCCGGGGACTCGGGCAGACTCGGTACCCAGTGCTGCAAAAACTTTGGTATGGGGACCTGGACTGGAAGCAAACATTGTGCTCCCAGCTCGATATTTCTACATACAGGCGGTGGACGGCTCGGGGAGAAAGTAAGTAGACCCACCGCTTTTGTTTCAGTAAGTCAGTAAAGTTACGTTTCTCCATTTGATTTGGCAACAACCTGTAACATTTTATTGGGAGGCAGTGCTGCGTTCAAGTGCTCCACGTAGCATCATACTTTGGAGATTGTAAGGTTGCGGTGGTGTAACAGTTGGGACAGTTTGAGTAAAATAAATCATGTTTTATGTAAATGCAAATAATTTCTTTAACTTGTTTTATATGTGTAAATAAATTCTTGTGCTAAAGCCAGAAGACATGATGTTAGTGTCTATCAATTTAATAAAAACTACAGTAAATGAAGGCCACATTTAGGTTTATTTTTGTCTACACTTTTTTTCAGCGTTTGTTTTCTAAAGAAAATAGCATTTGGGTATGATTTTGTTTGAAAGCCCATATGTCTGGTTTTCCAACCAAGAAATTAATAAACTTCCACAACCTCCACTTTTCTCAAATGTAGCCTAATGTCTAGGGGAAAAAATTATGTATTAGTTGCAAAATTAATTAAAACATAACCTACTTCCAAGTTTGTTGACATAGGACACTAACTTTATTTATGAGTGCCTGAGAACTGCATGTCTACAAAGAAAGGACAAAATAAATCTTTGCAACCACGTGGAAACTTTAAACTCTTCAGTAGTGAGAGAGCAGACATGAAAGTTTGCATCCCAGGGAGAAAGAGTCAGACAACCTCCAATAAACCCTTTCATGAAAAAAACCTTCCAAGATATCCCACTCTATTGGGTGTCACTTTAACACGTGCTTTGGGTCTCAAGATGGATATCAGTTTCTCACTCCATTAATGCCTACAACAAAACAATGACACGATTGTAACATGAGAGACAATATCAGCATGCCAAGACTTATAGAGGCCCTGAAATTATATCAGCAACAACAGACTTTCTGCTTTTAATGCACAACTTGTTATATTTAATTACAGTATTGTTGGGAAAATACTAAGATTGTAATTGTTTTTGAATTTATTAACTATGACTGTGAGGTTAAAGTTGTTCTTGGGTGCTTTTACATCAATATTAGGTGACGAGCACAACAGTGTCCCTAAACATATTGACACCGGCACCATCAATTTAGGAGACAAAGGTTAAAATTAATTTCGCTCGTTTTGAGAGTAGAAAAAATTATATCACGTTGTTCATTCTGATCTGATTTTTCACAACCTCTGATCTACAGTTTGGAGCGAGTAATATCCAGCAACAAAAATTTCAGGTGGACTTTCAGTTAATGGAATTACAACAATCAAATGTTTGTCCTCTTTGTATAAACGCCATTGTTGTTTTACCAGATTTATATTTGCAATTAAAAGCAGAATAATAATCATATTATGGTGAGTTTTAAATACGTAATATCTTCAGATAGTCATCCTTCAAAAGCTTAATTTATTTAATATTAATGTTAAAGAGTCTCACAAAAATGGCGACATTTGACAGGAATAAACTCAAAATATATAAGTACATACCAAAGCCACCTAAATAAGTTTTATACAGGGCTTCTTATTCATCCTCCATATATTCTTCCTCGCAGTTTAACAACATCACCTGGTGAGAAGACCTTTGAAGTGAAGATTGTGTCTCCAGCAGAGCAGTTCACCAGGATTTGGATCCAGGTCCTGGATCGCCAGGATGGCTCCTTCCTGGTGCGCTACAGAATGTACGCCACCTGCACGGACCTTCACATCCACGTTCTGCTCGAGAACAAGGATGTCGCCAAGTCGCCGTTCGTTCTCGAAGGTTGAACACAATCCAAGCCGCCTGAAACCGAAATATGTTTCGGGATGAGATTTGTTGTTTTCTGGCTCTGGGAACTGAGGGCACGTGCTTATGGCAGATGAAAGAAGGATCTTAAGGATGTTTCTGTGTTTTTCCACCACAGGCCCAGTTTACCATGAGGGCTGTGACTGTCCCCAGCCCAGTGGCTCTGTGTGGGAGGCCCATATGCACTGTCCTCAGTCCTTCCCCCAGATAGAAAGGGACCTGGTCGCCTACACCAGCGTTGACCCTGATCGCAACTCGCGGGAGATCCCACAGCGCTTTGGACAGAGACAAAGCCTCTGCCACTACACTATTATAAACAACAAGGTACCTCGCACCTATGCCACATTAGGGCTACTGTTGGGTGCTATGAAAAAACACAGAGTTTATCGGTCTATGGGAAACGTAGTAGTGTGGATGTAGCCTTAACTGTAGCTAAAACAGAAGAAGTCGCCTTTACAGTAAGCTGTCTCCATAGTTAGTGACGAATGTTTGACACGTAAGTCATTTTACAACAATCCCCCAGGTTCTCTTTCAAATACCAGCATGAATAAAGGCTATTCTAGTAAGAAAGGGTAGTATTTCTTTAGGCTGAATAGTAATTAGGGCCACGTATTAATGTCAAGTTAGGAAGGAGAGCCTGGAGCTGTATGACACGCCTGTAAGAACAGTCGATCAAGGGGTACAGTCTTCTCCAAATACCACTGTGGACGCCAATCCAGGTTCCTGTAATAGGAATTCTAAGTCTAAAGCCCTAATGGCACAGTGCTAGAATAACCTGGGAACATCCAGCGTGTTATCAGTTGTCAGTCATTTACAGTCCCATTGTAATTTCTACATTCTGTGAGTGTGCTCACACAATTAGTTCTTGCAAAATCCAAAAAACCCAAACATTTCTGCGACTCTCTTTTTCTATACGCAGCTCTGGATTAACTCCTGTAATACGCATGACAGTTACAAAAACATGTAAGATAATACAGTCCCAATTCAGGTCCATGTTTTAGCTTTCCAGAGCTTTCAGTCATACCACATGGTCTTCAACAGCAGGTAGAGATTGCAGCAAAGTTAATTCCTGAACCCCTTTGCACTCTTGTGATGTTTTTATGTTGCTCTCTAGCGTTCTCTTCTCTTTAGGTCTACGTTAAAACCTTCGGAGAGCACGTAGGTTTCAGAATCTTTATGGATGCCATTCTCCTGTCGCTCACCCGAAAGGTAAGCTTATAATATCTGTGAAATACCGAAACGTTGGAACAGTTTTAATCTTCAACATCCCGTTAATAAGTTTCATTCATCACTTACTTTTAGAAAACTAGAAGAAGGACTTGATAGAAGATTACATAGGTTTTTTCACTTCCATATTGCATTTATCCCTTCATTGGGAATGAATTCACAAGCAAGAGCAGGCAGCAAGGTTTCTTCATATTACGTGATATTATTTCCTTAATAATGTTGTTTTTTTAATGGATTATGGATGGAATATTGTTGTGTTGTATGTACAGGTGCGGCTCCCTGATATGGAGTTTTTTGTTAACCTGGGTGACTGGCCGTTGGAGAAGAGGAAACCCACTGAGAGGATTCATCCTATCTTTTCCTGGTGTGGCTCTGACAATACCAGAGATATCGTCATGCCCACCTATGACCTGACCGAGTCTGTCCTTGAGACCATGGGAAGGTGAGGCTGCACGTTCCACAACACAAACATGTTTTGGGTGAAGCTAAAAGATTTGCAAATGAGTCAGCAGAGTTAGCAATATCATTACAAGAGCGTGGTGATGGGGCAGTGGATAACACACATGCCTTTGGTGTGAGAAACCCGGGTTCAAATCCACTGTGAGACACGAATGTGTCCCTGAGCAAGACCTTTAACTTCTAGTTGCTCCAGAAGCGTGCGACTTTTGACATATATAGCAATTGTAAGTCACTTTGGATAAAAGCGTAGGCTAAATGTAAATGCTACCACTGTATGGCTATCTCTTTAAGTGTCTTTTGAGCATCAGCTACCTGTGGGCCTGGTGGCTATGAGGAGTTTGTAGCTTGCTTCTCAGAGGGGGATAGGAGCCGTAGTCCGCTTGGACACATTGCAGCCCTGTAGTAGCAGGATCACCTTCATAAAGATGATGGAATTCTCCTCTCATAATGAGTGACACTCGCTCACCAGGTACTCCAGCATCGTGTGGAGCTGCTGATCTCTGCAAGACAACTATATTATTCACTGCAACAGTGAACTGGGAAAGCAGTATATGCACCCGGGTACAAATTATTTATAGGCACTTGGGGCAAAGCTGACAGTGTGAAGTCAATCCTTTACGTGGATAAAATGATAAGATAACATTCTTTATATATGCATGCTCACGATTAATAACGTGGACAACATATTGTCCCTCCAATGAACAGGGTTAGTCTGGACATAATGTCAGTGCAGGCCAACACAGGACCAGCATGGCAAGAGAAGAACGCCACAGCCTTCTGGAGGGGCCGGGACAGTCGGCAGGAACGTCTGGAGCTGGTCAAGCTTTCCAGGGCTCACCCCAACATGATAGATGCTGCCTTTACCAACTTCTTCTTCTTCAAACATGATGAGAGCCTCTACGGGCCGCTGGTCAAACATGTTTCCTTCTTTGACTTTTTCAAGGTGAGAGTGCTTCAGCATGGCTGCTTTCTGATTTAATGAATACTTTAAATTCATACACATTTGATTTGTATATAATATGCAATTGTAATATTTTTGATAATAACTTTGAAACTGATTGTACTATGTAATGGTAAAGAGATGGTAGTACTGCCAGACCTACTAAGAATTAATACTTAACTCTGCCCCAGTTTGCAGCTTTTTGTAACTGTTTAACAACCATAGTAAGGAATTCTTTAGCAAACAAGCCCTGACAGGATGAGTGTAGCCAATTTGCTTAGCAGAAAAGAGGAGAAAGGCTCGTGCAGACGTGCACGAAACAGCTGTTCATTATAAAGCTAGCAATTATTAAGACAAAGAATACGGATGAAAGGATGCATCTGAGCTACAGAGAGAGCTGGAGGTGTGTAAAAAGTGTTTTGCAGTAAAAAAGTAGCTGCCTGCTCTGCCAGCTGCCTGCTCTCATTTCATTGGATGTGGACGTCAAGTCGGCTGACTCCTCCAGATATTTGGCACGCTAGATATCTAACGGTCGTACTGGCATACTGGGCAAATGCCCGGTGGGCCAACGCACCTTTGGGGCCAGTGTAAGGTAAATTATCTGTTTATATAACTGTTTTTAAAAAACGGGCCAACGATCGTCCCATAAAGCAGGGACAGCAGCCCATTGGGCAATTTTCTATACTGACATTGGGCTTCCACTATAAATTGGTGCAGAAAATGTCTCCAGAATGCAGAAAATCAAGTGTTTAATGCTCAAAATGCCAGGGACGATTTTTTTTGTCCCAGTCCAGCCCTGGCTCAAGTAAACTAGTGTCTGGTGAGGAAAGTTTTTTTCTTTTTTTTTTTTCCTCAGGAGATAATGGACCAGATCATTGCTTAAGGGCCAGTGAATACTGGATCTATATGCATTATTTAGGTTGCCAAAGAGGTATCTCCAGTGCAATGCTAATGTCGCTCTGTGTCCGTCAAGTCAGTTTTATTTATATATCCCATTATCACTATTCACAATTTCACAATAAAGGGGGTTTACATTCTGTACAGCATACAATACCCTCTGTCCCTAGACCATCGGTTCAAATGAGGAAAACTCCCCCAAAAAGCCCTTTTAACCGGAAAGGAATTGAAGAAACTTCAGGAAAAGCAGCAGCAGGTGACAGAAATGCAATAGTTTGTTCACAACAGAAAATAACAGTATATTCAATTATGATGACAAAATGTAGATTGTAATATATAAATGAAGAGGATGGATCCAGGAGGATAACTGAGCAGCTTCAAGTGTCGCCCACTAAGTCGGATCTGAGCCACACCACCTCGTCTCCTGCATAGAGACCTGAGACGAGGACAGGCCACACAAACACTGAAGAAGACTACAGTATTCTCACAGAGAGGAGAAACAAACACTGCTTTGCTAACACATTAGCCATAACTTGATCAGCCATGGTACACCAAGGCTTATTCTTTATGCAGTTAAACTGTTTACATTTTATTCTATTTTGAAGGTGATTGTTATTTCTCTTCCACGTCCACCACCAGTACAAGTACCAAATAAACATCGACGGCACCGTGGCAGCATATCGACTGCCTTACCTATTGGCAGGAGACAGTGTGGTCTTAAAGCAGGATTCCGGCTACTACGAGCATTTCTACAACGAGCTTCGGCCGTGGGAGCACTACATCCCAATCAGGGCGGACCTCGGAGACCTGCTGGAAAAGATCCAATGGGCTCGTGACCACGACGAAGAGGTGAGGAAGAGTATGGACATTTTGTGTAAATTTTTTGTCTTTGTGCTTATTTATTGGCCTCTTTAAGAATGAACAGAAATCCGTTTTGTCAGTATGGAGTGAATGTTCTGTTGTCTTTGTTACTGTGATTACGACAAATAGCTGCTATCATTTGTGTCTTTCAGGCACGGAAAATTGCACTGGCGGGTCAGCAGTTTGCTCGCAATCATCTTAATGGAGACAGCATATTTTGTTACTACTACAAACTTTTCCAGGTAACATTTCTACACTTCTGCACAGTTATATAGATTGATATATTTAAAAGCTCAAGGTACAAGTACCAGCAGCGTTATGAGGAAATATTATCGCACACTCATACCGTCACACAGGGGTCAAAGTATATCCCATTAGCACTGTATGGCCTTATTTGTGTGACTGTGGATGAAATGGTTTCACAGCATGCATAAATGTGTTCAGATCGCATATTTGTTGTCAGGATATGCTTCTCCTTTAGGAGTATGCCAAACTCCAGGTCACAGTGCCACAGATCCGGGAAGACATGGAGCTTGTGGAGCAGCCCATCGATGACCTGTTCCCCTGTTCCTGCCACAGGACGGGGTAAGAGACACCGTTAAGTTCCCCTTGCATCAGAGTGACTTTGCATCATTTCGCCTCACCTCAGCTTACAGATTACACCAGTAACAGGACACCAGTGCAGTCTAGACCCACTGACGTCAAGAGCTGTTGCTCTGGGTTCTTATCCAGGTTGTAAATCACAAGTTTGCACTGTTTGCAAAGATACACTTAAGACAACTCTGATGAATTGCTGCCTTGAACAATATAAAGTACATCATTTTATAGCATGGTTTCCAAGTGGCTGAAGGATGACCTGCTTAACATGGATGTAGTACAACATATACACAATATCAGGATCCTGAAAATTAAGTAAAAGTAATTCAGCCATCATTAATTTTATTATTTACACTTACACTACATTTCCTACTGCAACATGTCAAAATTCTATGAAAAAAAGCTGTTATTAGTTTAATAAGTGGCACAGTTGTCTCTATTCAATTCAATTCAATTTTATTTATATAGCGCCAAATCACAACAACAGTTATCTCACAGCGCTTTTCATAAAAGAGCAGGTCTAGACCGTACTCTATGATGCTGAGAGTTTTTCTTTGATGACTATGCCTGCTCATTTGAACATGAAGAAGAGGGAGAAAGTGTGGGCAAAGGCCTGGCAGAGTTTAAGCTGTTCAAGTTGGTACCACTCAGCTTCAAGAAGACCATACCACTTTACAGAGTGTGGCTCCCCCTGGTGTGTATAAGGTGCCACTGCACCTTACTAAATGAATGAGTTTAATACAAAAATTACACTGTAATGCGTTAAAAGCCCTGCACAGCCACACGTGTGTTTTTAGTTACTCTGGCTGATTAGACCTCTAGTTAGGTTGTGTGATATCACCAATTATATCATTAATAACATAAATTGTCCGCATCTAACAGGTGCAACAAAACTAACAGGGGAGTGAGGGAAATGTCATTCAAGCATAGTTTAACACATTCACACAAGTGAAAACACCCGTGTGGGCGGGTGCCCAGTGGAAATGGGAGCTTTTAAATATGATTAATGCAAACTACTTGAATAACGTATAATAAGTCAAATAGAAAACGTATTGCATTTTTTAGATTTTAGAGTGAATATTCAAGTTTGAATGAGTAAGTTTAGACTACACTGCTGTACGTAAGTATACAGCTCTCACTGGATTGTATTTCGGTTCTTGATGGCACACCTTTCTTCACATGTGCCAAAACAAAGTCAGCAAATACTTTGAAGCTGGCACATGTCCCACTCCTTCTCATCCTAACACAAATCTGTTTTTCTTTTTTTCAGGCAAAGGATGAACTTTGACCTGTCATCCAGTTACAGAACAATCCTTCATATCGGATATACTGCCAAATCATTTTTCAGTGTGAATTAATTGCATGACTGACATGAATTTCACATTATCTCATTTTTTAAATAAAAATGTGTCTTTTTGTATGTTAAAAGTGATTTTTTTCCCCCCTTACTCTACTTCTGTATTATACACTCACACAAAAAAACACTGTAAAAGCATAAATGCACATTAATACATAGAAGTTGTATTTTAAAGTGCCGTTAAATAGCGTGGATCACTCTGTACGTTCAAGCTGCGTTGTCATCAAGCTTCTGACCTTGTCCTTGAACAAGACAAGCAAACGCTGCCAACTCAAAGTCTGCAGTTCTGTAGCTGACTGCTTTACTGGGGTCCAGCCAACCCATGTTTACATTGCTGACAGTAAAGCTGTAATGACCACTCCATAACAGCAGGTGTCAGTCACGTGCAGCAACATCTTGTAATGGAGAAGTTTGACGAGGTAAATATCTCAACATTAGCAACTGCGATTTAAAAGCCTTTTACCAAGATATGACACGACCCAAGGTTAGAGTTAAAATATGGAGAGTGGTGTAACCACAGTGTTGTGGGCAGAACTAATTAATCATCTGAAATGCCACGATTGCCTTTGTTGAAACTGATGTTTACCTCAAATCAAACATACACAGTTAACTTAGCTAAGTTAGCCCGGTGTGGAAATAATGATTTGTGCTGCCACGTTATAGTTAACGTTACTCTACATTAATTTATTTTCAGCACAGTGAGCGAACTCGTATTAAAAATGAACTCTGTTGTTAAACGCTTCAGAAAAATGAATGAAGCTCGGTCACAAAGCTGCTGCGGCAACGTGAATGGTGCCTGCCTTTTATTCAGTCAGAAAATCGTTTGAAAGACTCATTATGGCAAGAAACATTTTATAATCACACGTGTTTATACCCTGAATGATGTGAACTGTCAAACCTAAAAGTCCTAAAGTGTGGTGATGGTGCTCACTGACTTCCAGGACTCTGTTAAGGTGCCATTTGGGTCAAAGCAGCTGGATGCAGCCTTGTGTTTTCCTGCCTCTGTGCAAGGTGTTCACACGGCCGTCATTCTCACGCACGGGGCTGGTGGAGACATGAACTTCAAACATCTGGTTTCTCTGGCACGTGCCCTGGCTTCAGGTGGCTTCATTTGTCTCCGTTTCACATGTAAAGGTTTAAACTTGGGCTACAGAGTGAAGGCTTACTATGCTGCATGGGTAAGCATTTTCATACATAAAAGCATAACAGTCACTGTTGTATGCATACAGTTATATTTTTGCACTACTGTATAAGATAAGTTATCACTTTATTAATCCCCCTTAGGGGAAATTTTGGTCAACATATCAGCACAAAGGAATATAAAAGAACAGATGCAGTATAGTAGAAGTATTAATGCAACTGACTCAGAATCAATGAGATGCTGTTCACACATTTGTGTTTTCCCATAGGACTACTTGAAATCACTACAGAAGTTTACCATAAAGCACATATTTGTAGGAGGTAAGCAGCAATAGCCTACTAGGCTTACTGTACACATGAAATAGATACACAAGTGCATACCTACAAGTAGAATAATCAAGTTGGGCAATTAAAGACCACTTACAACTGATGCTAAACAGGCACAGAGAAAATCACATTTCTTGCAGCATAAAATACAGCTCTCACTACAATATCTTGTCCACAGGCCGGTCAATGGGATGTCGTGCTGCCGCAGCTTTAGCCAGGCAGCTGAGTGATGTCTCAGAGGATGCAGTGCGGGGAGTCATCAACCTCTCTTTCCCCCTGCACCCCCCAGGACAGACACAAGCCCATCGACAACGGAGTGAAGATCTCAGGGGGCTACCTGAACACATGCCTGTGCTGTTTGTGTCAGGCACCGAGGACAACATGTGTGACAGGGTGAGGATGGTTACGTGCTCTTTATTCTGGCCAGACTGTAATTTCATTCAGTTGTAGGATTTTCAGTTTGTATTTACATATGTGTGTGGGTCAAGTTACATCTCTTTTTACTACTTTTTTTTTATATCTTTAGTTGTAATATAAAGTATATACTCTAAAGGTTTGTATTGTTGTATTTTCATACCATACATATATACATTATTTTCCTGTTGCCTCAGTAGGTTGTTGAAACTTGCAGAAATCTTTGCAGTCCAGGTTGTTTTTTTTACAAGTAGGGCAATAGCCTGCCATGTTACATGTGCTGTATTCTAATTATTCCTCTGCCCCAGCCAGTGCAGTGTTTGATTTGTTGGTGTTTTCAATTACCTTACATGTGCCACTGTAGTGATTTAGCTTTCTTCCATCTGTTTTTGCTCAGGTTCTTTTTCACGGGATGTTAAAAGAAATGAAAGCTCAAGTTGAGGTTTTCTGGCTAAAAGGAGGCAGCCATGGACTGACTGTGAAAGGAAGGTCTGAGGATTCTGTGGTGGATGAAGTGAATTTACAAGTCCTCACCTGGATTACGAAGCAGGGAGCATAGATTAATTTATATTATCTGTTTTTCTCCCACCTTTGTTTTGTTATGTTTTACTAGTTAAATAAAGGATATATATTTTTACACAATTCAGCCGTTGTTTTGTCTTTTTATTATCAGAAATTCTTGATGGCTAAATGGAGAAATGATTCAGTGCTGCCAAAAACACATTAACTCAGAAAATACGTCATTAGCACCTTTGACATTAAGCCTGTTTTTGTTGATAATCCTCAGACAGAAACTTGTGCTTCATTTGTACACAAAATCTGACATAAATGATACTGTACATTGTACTAAATGTTACAAAAACTAAGCAAGGGACTATTAAATTATGAAATGAATATGAATATATTTAATACAAGTTTAATAAATGGTTGACTCTAACATAGAAATTAATCTGAAATGGGAAAGTAATGTATTATAAAGCCTTATGTTCTTTATACATTATTATAATGAACCAGTGTTCCTTTTTATTTATATGATATCACCGAGTCTGTAAACAAATATTTTATTCCCAAACGTGCCTCAATGTATTCAGGTGAGAACGATCTACCTGCTACAGAGGCCATGTTTTCTAACCAGACTGGGACACACAGATCATGTGTCCAGTATAAATATCATAACAACAATAAGTAGATGCAATGCAAAGTAAAGGGTGTCACTCTGTTCTGTTGTACTTGTACTGAACTCGGTGTGAAGTCGAGGTAGCCTGTGAGAAATCCAGGGTTGACCTTGTGGTTCAGCTCCTTTTAGGCTTACATCACGTGTGAGGGGGGCACTTCCTTGTGTTGGCTGTGCCTTTAAGGGGAACTCTGACGTTTACATTGACTGGAATGCAATTGGTTGGCTGACTTCCGCATCTTGTTATGTTTCATGCGGTTTTATGGGAAGCAAAGCATGGCAGCAGAACCGTGGAACAGGGTAAACATTCCCTTTCCCGGTGCTGTTTCTAGTGTCCGTGTACATTTCAGCTCTACTACAGGTACGATACATTGTGTGTTTGGGGCAAAACTGCGCAGACACCGTGGATGTGCTGCTTGCAACCCCACGTGGGAGCGCACGGATCCACCATCAGCAGTGTTGATGTTGTACTGATGTTCATCATCATCGTTGTGATGTTTTGCGTGTTGTTGCTGTGATGCAGATGCGCACGTGAAATCCCTGCTGGTGGAAAACGAGAAGGTGCTCAAGCTAATTCGGAGTGAGCTTCTTCAAACGGAGATCAGAGTTCTGTACGAGCTGCTGTACATCCTGAACAACAGCTCAAGAGGCAACAAGACGTTCAAGGGCTTAAAGCAGGTGAGGACTGCGGATAAGACACTGTTACTGGATATGTATATTGTTGACTTGGTGTGGTGAAGTGTGTTAAACAGAAAAGCTAAAGAAGTAACTCACTATGTGATGTGCATGTGTCATGTCATGTTACATATTTTGGCTTATCTGTCACAGGTTGAACAATGCATTAACAGGCTGAAGAGTATGGAGCTTGGTGTTGCTCTTCAGGATCTGACAGATCTGTGTCCCAGTAGAATTCAAAGGTAGGTAGAGAGTTTTATTGAGTCAGTGTGATGTGTACTTTTGGCCAATTGTTAAGGAACATACCAGCCAGCATCAAACCTCGGCTTGGAGACTATTCCACTAAAGCCATAGAACGGCCATCACTATGACTCTTTACTGTATTGGCTCTATAGCACCATGGTAGCTGTGCAATGCATTTAGTTGAAAGCTGTAATTATCTCTTTACTGACTGTTATGAGATGTGTGTGTGTCTCTCTCCTGTGTGTATATTTAGAGGATTGGGCATTAAGGCTGGTGAGTGTGATGTTCCAAGTCAACCCATGCTGGAGTGGCTGTGTCTCAAAGTCCTGGGAGCCGCCCAGCTGATGAGCTGCACGCTGAATCGCTGCAGCAGAGCTTTCTCGTATCCTTTTCCAGAGGTGGCACTGTTCAGAAACATGAATCTGACAGAAATCTCTGAAGATCTGGTGTTGTGAATCTCTTTGTCTGAATTAAGCTTGACAATCTTGGCCTTAAGAGCTATTTGATTCAGACTCTCAAAGCAGCAGATGAAATGGGAGGAGTTTGTTATCTTGAATGTGGTGATAACCAGCATGCTCAGTCGTCTCTGGTGAGTGCTCTTCCACATTGTTGCGTCCAAAAAGAAGAATTGAAACAAGCATCACATGTTGGCAGCAGCTCCAAATTGCAGTACAATTAATACAAATCTCTATTTTGAAAAAGTTGTCTAAAGTTGTCTGTCTTTGTGCTCCATCAGGGTGATTTTCCGTGGTATCCTGGTCAGTCTGTCGACTCTGTATCAGCAGCTCCTGGAGCTCCTCAGAGAAGTAGCCAACGCCAAGCCCATGCCCTTCCTCACTGACTTCTCCCTGCCAGCAGATATTGCCCAGTTCCTGGGTCCCTCTGATCCGGTTTTACTGACCAAAGAGCCAGCACACGACCACCTTGCCAAAGACCACAAGGAAGAGGAGCAGCAGCAGCAGAGGAGGAAGAAATCTTCTGTTAAAGTCAAGAACCAGATGAGGAAGATGAAAGAAGACCTGGGTGTTGCTGTGGAAAGAGGTTTGGAGCTTTTTTTTTTTGTATTGTTTTGTATTCTGTACAAAGACACTGCTGTAAAGGACATGTGCCTTTTTCACTTAGTGTTTATTAACATAATGTAGGTGAATATAATCCAATAGGGTTTTTTTTACCTCTGCCTCTTTGTCACATCCAGTGCTCTTTGGTCGATACAGTACACAAAAAGAAAGTAGTGTACCATGACAAATGCTTGCATATATGATTGCATATATCTGCTTATTTTGTAGAACCTATTGACATGAAAAATATGTTTTAATTTAAAATAAAGTAACAAATGTTGTGTGAAATATTCTTTAATCGTACAGGTTGGAATAGAACTTCAGTGATAAAGCAACGCCACTGGACTGTTTCCACTACTGTTGTAATTTATTTATTTACTGTTTGTTTTTTTGCAGATCTAGTTCTTGACACTGACATGAAGCCTTTCCTCGAGGTTTTCAGGAACTTTACAGAGGTATGTGAGCAAACCAGCTAAAACATTTCTTCATTCATTTATTATTTAAAGAATACATCTGCTAAGTGGTGGCAATTAATCATCGTATTTTATGATTACATAATTTTTGCACCCAAGGGAAAATCCCTCCCACGGGAAGCGCACAAGGCTAACGGGAAGCAAAAGTTCAAGAAGCAAGTGAAAGAGGCTGCTACTTTCACAGACATGGCGTCGCGTCTAGAAGAAATGATCCTATGGTGCAAAGCCCAGAAGAGGGAAACGGAAAAACGCCTCTTAGCCTTCCTGCGTTTAAAGTGCCAACGGATGAAATGCCTAGAGGCAGCAGGTTACAAGTAAGAGCAACGCTGCAGAATATAAACTCAGTGGCCACTTTGTTAGGTACAGCTGTGCAATCCAATGCAAGTCAATACAACAGCTCTGCCATAAATCCTACATTTTACAGAGTTGATAATGTTCAGTTTTTGGTGACATTGTCTGAAATGCGTAAAGTTATGTTTATGACTGAGGTCTTAGTTAAATGTGGTGTTGTATTTGACTACATTATGTTGAGAGGTGTTTCAAATTTTTTGTCCTCCCGTGAGGGGGGGGAGAATATCTCAGACTCCTCTGGATGTAGTGCAGTCCAGCACTAGCCATGAACTAGCTATACAGGCACAGCTAATAAAGTGGCCACTATTGGCATTGCTGATGTAAAACTACACTCATTAGTATTTTCTGACACAGTTTCTTCTACTGCTAATGTTTATATAATTTGACTTCATCCCCAGTGTCCAGAGGAAGTTGCGGACCTTCAGACGGGAAGCTTGCTGGGCTTTATTTCCTCGAGGGTCAGTGCCAAGAACCTGTCGTTCTCCTAGGAGGAGACATGCTCACCGGAGAACTCGTTTTCAGTCACTCAGGAGTCGCTTTAAGTCTTCAGCAGCACGAACTGGTGTCAAAAAGAAACGGCTGAAAGGCAAAGGAAAAGGGCTGCGTCATCGGTGTCTGGACTGTCGGGGGACGGCCAAAGAAACTGGACTACGTACAAGGCGACATCTCAGACCACTGACTGTAACATCCACGATGACATAGATGATATATTTGCCTCTGTAGGTTTGTGACCCTCTGGAAACAAATCACTTTAAGCAGCTGAGCTCAGTATATGACCCGTGCCTCTGTTTTTTTTAAGGAAAAGTTGGATGTTCATGTGTCACTTCATGTGTAATGAAATCTGATCATTCGACATTGTTCTATACAAGTAGTAAAGAGCAGCAGCGGATTGTACAGTATACTGCTTTATCTGACACTGAGCTGCAAAGCCTTATAATGTCAATAAAAATGATTTTTTTTCCAGATGCTGGTCCCAACAGACTGTATTCAGGAATGAGTATGACCTGAATAGTTATATAAAGCTTTTATGAATGTTTCTAAGGGAATTGCTTAATGATAACATTTGATGAACTTGGATTGTTCCTGCACATTGAAGCCATAGTTTTATGGTTCTAAACACCAAACCGCACGTACAGTGGATTACTATTATTAGAGCTGTTATGTGCACATCCTGTTCACCCCTCTTAACACAGCCCTGCAGTATAACATAGCATATCTAATGCACAAAGAAATAAAACCTGTTTAATGAACTGTGAAATACTGCAAATTAGCCTATTTTAAGTGGTAAAGGCCATCAGTGTTACAGATCCCATGCTAAAAGGGACTTCTGAGATGACGTGACAGTGCTTGAGGAGACTGAGTAACATTATCAAGGCCCTGATGGTTTATTCTGGCTCCACCTGGTGGAGCAGAGAAGTAAATACACTCAAAGATTAGTTCCAGGCTGTTCTCAGAGAATATGGAATAAATCCCTGAAACAGTTGTTATACCCACGGCAGAGGCAGCACGACAAAGCAGAGGTGTCAGTTTTGTTGTCTAGAATTGAATTTGAGCCGCCTGAGACTGAGTGCTGAGCAGAGAACACACTGGCATATGGTATGTATTAGTAGGCAGGGTGGCTTCAGCTCTTGGTTTTTGAAGGCTAGTATAAGAGCTGTTCAGGCACGA